CACAGGGGCGTCGGCCCAGCAGGTTCAGCTAAAGCCTCCCTCTGTAAGCTGCATGCGTTGCAGATGACCAAAGAATCGACTCAGAAACACAGGTGCGTGAACTGAAGTGCACCGTACCTGCTTCCACAGAGGCTTCGGCCCAGCAGGTTCAGCTAAAGCCTCCCTCTGTAAGCTGCATGCGTTGCAGATGACCAAAGAATCGACTCAGAAACACAGGTGCGTGAACTGAAGTGCACCGTACCTGCTTCCACAGGGGCGTCGGCCCAGCAGGTTCAGCTAAAGCCTCCCTCTGTAAGCTGCATGCGTTGCAGATGACCAAAGAATCGACTCAGAAACACAGGTGCGTGAACTGAAGTGCACCGTACCTGCTTCCACAGGGGCTTCAGCCCGGCAGGTTCAGCTAGAGCCTCCCTCTGTAAGCTGCACGCATGCAAGCATGCATGCATGTCATAATGTACCAAGGTGTTACACAGACACAGATACAAACACAATGGATCATAATATAGAGCTGCTCTAACACAGAGCTCAGATGATGTTGCTGCTCAGGCATCTTCGAAGTTACAGCTTTGCTCTACTCTACTGCATTGCGAATTGATGGGCGAGGCACAATGCGCATCAATCACGCATAAGTTACACTGGAGCACAGATTACAATTACATGCATACACAGGGAATGAAAACGAACATGACAGAAGGAAAGAGGAGGCATGCTGGGGGTTCAGGGGAGCACGCAGTATCGAAACTTATGGAGTCCCGTCATGTGCATATGCATGATGACGCCAGCACACCTGGTGGTGATGTCAGCGCCATAGGAGAAGAAGAGGCCGTGAGCTGACAGGGCGGAGCGTAGGCGAACGAGATACTCCTCCTCGTCCGCTTTCTGGGGGATAATGGCATGTTGATGGGTACATAATGCAGAGGGCACTTCTGAAAATTGCCCGAAAGGCCAATAGCTGACAGGGCGGAGCGCAGGCGAACGAGGTACTCCTCCTCGTCCGCTTTCTGGGGGATCACGGCATGATGGGCATACACAGCAGACGGACTATGGTTGAGCATCAATCAACCATGTATATAGAGGCTGGGAGAACGCCATTCAAATCAAGTTATGACGGGTCTAGCTCCCTCTTGCTTTGTTTCCCCCCTTAACCCTTCCTACCTTCTCTCCCCCCCTCCCTCGATGTGCCTTGTGCTATCATTCCTCACTAATTCCTCTGCTCCCGTTACACTCAGGCCCTGTTACACTTTCCGTCCGTTACAAGCACGCGCGCACCTGCTTGGGCGTGAGGGAGTCCTTGGAGCAGCACGGCACTATATCGAAGGCAGTGGCTCGGAACACGTGCGCGCCCTTGAACGCGCCCACGAGCTGCCGGTTCGTCACCAGCAGCACGTACGTGCCTGATGGCGTACGGTAAAGGGGCGAGTAACGAAATGGGGAGAACAGTGATAGGGAAAAGTGAAGGCAACCCGACGAACAGGTGCGTGCCCTTGAAAGCGCCGACGAGCTGCTGGTTCGTCACCAGCAGCACGTACGTGCCTGATGGCGTACGGTAAAGGGGCGAGTAACGAAATGGGGAGAACAGTGAGGAGAACAGTGATAGGGAAAAGTGAAGGCAACCCGACGAACAGGTGCGCGCCCTTGAACGCGCCGACGAGCTGCTGGTTCGTCACCAGCAGCACGTACGTGCCTGATGGGCGAACAGTGAGGAGAACAGTGAAGGGGAAAAGAGAAGGGGAAGGCAACCCGACGAACACAAGGGGATAGATCAATAAACGCGAGGCGAAGGCACGCCACGTGGGTTCTAGACATGCCAGTGACGGGAGTGGGCACGCGATTTCACAGCTTCAGAGCATTACGGGTAAAAAGTGTGCAGACGGGTGAGACATGCCATGGGAGGGTGAGAACCCACCTGCAAGCAGCTCGATAAAGCCGAGGAGCAGGCACGCTGACTTTGGCTCTGCGACCGTTCCCGCAAGCGACGGCTCGCCTGAAATGTCGGAGAGTGGAGAAAACATGGAGAACTGAAGCACATTTTTTGGGTCGACTCAAAAGTCCGGCAAGCGACGGCTCGACTGAAATGTCGGAGAGCGGAGGAAACACGGGGAACGGAGGCACATTTGTCTGAATGTATGTTAATTTTGTGAGATCAGACAAGTCGGAGAAAAGCACGAGCGACCGCGAAGATGGAATAACGCGAAACTAGAGAAAATAATGACCTCCGAATAGCGCATGGGCACGCGCATGCAGCTGTTGATGAGACGCGAAAAAAGTGCGCAATTCAAACCATTGAGACACAAGCGAAGACAACGCTATAAACAACAAGATGCCATGCGGGAAATGACATCACATGTCGCCCCTATCAGCCAGCTGTCAATCTCGCAGATTGCCGCACGCAGCAGGCCGATCAAAGCCTGACGGATATCCGAATCTCCGCCGCTCGTATTGCCAAGACTTTCAAAACTCTAACGACGAGCACGATCCACTCCGTCTCTACTTCGCCGGGAACCGATTTGCCACTTTTGCTCCCGGAACGTGAGCGGTTCCCTCACGAATCGGTACCCAAACTGTCGCCTTCGCATTGCCAACGCTATCAAGTAAAACACGAGAGCTACGTATGAGAATGCAGCGAACTCTTGAGGCAAGCCCAGCTGCTGCTGAGAGCCAACCTTTGCAAGGAAACGGGTCTAGATCACCCGAACTACAGTACTGCCGGCGTCGTTATCTCTAAGCTAAACTCGATACGCTAGTTGCGGGAGTCAGCAGCATCAGGCGTGGCCTTCTCACCGGCTGGACAGGAGAATGCCCGAAATATGCAAGCTTGTCACCAAGGTCTACATCAATGTGTCAGTGGCTGTACCTCCGACGCTCAGGCTGCCGTCAGATCGGCGGATGGCGAGGCAGCTGGTGGACGCATCCAATGGCTCCAGTAGCAGCTCATCGGGATACTGCCAGACGCGGAATCCCGTGCACAGCGCTGGCACTGGAACACCCATGCTTCCTGACGCTTGAAATTTCACTCAATTTCTTTCTGAAAAGCACTCCAGTAATGTTTAAAAAAGCTCTGTGAGGTAAGTCTCTGAAACTGCTTCACGATGCACCCTGGAGGGATGTGGATCCAGAACAGCAATGCTGGTCTGGAAAAGAATCACCACGCTTCAAGATTGAAGCTGGAGACACGGGTTGGGCGACTGACTTTTCGTCCTAGCCAGGCCTATCTTCTTCTTCGGCGAACCTTGGAACCTCCGTTCCTCTGCCCTGCTCCCTGGATTTCTCCTCCCTGCCTGTGTTTGCTGTATCTGAAATCTGAACCCCCCAACCAAGCTCACCAAAGATACAGCAAAAAGGTGCCTCTCAGCCACTTTCTCGCTTCCTTCCCTCCCGTTTGGGGGAGTTCAGTCAGAGCTCGAGACTCCAGAAACCAGGGGATTGGCTTGGCTGGCAAAACCAAGGGATTGGCTTGGAACTTGGAGGCTCTTCCGCTACGGCTGCGGGGCTGGACTGAACTGAACGCGACGGAATGCCCAAGGTGCAATGCAATCAATCACCCACAAGTCATGCTCGCGCAGCAATCGGCGCTGGTCGCGCTTGACTTGGGCGCGGTGCAGCTGGCCTTACGCGCGGTGCTGCTGGCTTTGCGCGGAGCTGGGAGTGTTGCGTGGAGGTGCAAGGGTTGCGCGGCTATAATTAGAAGGAACTGCTGGCGGAGAATCTGTGTGGTGTGGGGTAGAGCTGGCTCGTGGTTGGTGGCGTGGCGCCGCGGTGGCACCAAGGGTGGTGGAGGAGGCAACAGCGAATCAGCGACAATTCCGAAACGCGGGAAGATTCGTCAAAGCACCAGATTCCAAAATTCAAGGGCAAACCAACCGCGGGCAAACATGGCAGGCACTTCTGTACCCGACTTTAGCTTTTATTCACACCCAGCTAAAAGAGGAGAATATTTTTAGGACTTTTCTACAATACACTCACCTTCGGATCCTTGAAATATTTCTTAGCCTGGTGCGGCATGAGCCAGCGGCCGCATAGTATTTGTTACTATAACAATTGAATCTTGGAAAAAACACATGTATGTCACCTGCGCATTTATGTCGCTTAATGGGAAAGTGTGAATTGACCAAGTACCGTAGTACCGGTACGGTAATAAAGATCACAACAAAAGTTGCATCCCACTCAGCCCCAGCACCCCTATGCTTTTTCACCCCCCATTACCCCTCCAGTTCCGCCCTTCAATGCTAATAACCGCCTCTAGGGTGTCCTAACATAAAGCATAGAAACTATCAGGCCCAGATCCGTCTTCTCCCTGAGGAAATCTGGAATAATTCTTATCGGATTGCAGCATCTGATCTCCACTTGCCAGAGCCTTTGTAGATGCCTCAAGGACCTGGGTAATTCAGTCATTCTTGGCAGCGTAGTGAGCTGAAGCCACTCCAGTGACGAGAGTAACCCAACATTGGTGGGTAACCGCTCGAAATTCCTGCAATCTTCTATGACAAGCTCGGATAAGCGGCGAAGGTAGGGAAAATAGGCGGGCAGCTCACGGAGCATGTCGCAATATTGCAGGGTTAATCGCTCTAGGCGCGACAGCTGCCCGAAAGATTCTGGCAACTCGGTAAGCCTGGGCAGATTGAAAAGTTTCAATGTATGGAGACTGGAGAGGTTCCCAAACGCAGCAGGGAGGGAAGGAAGGCGGTCGCAGGAGGAGAGATTGAGCGAGGTAAGGGAGGATAGGAGCGGAAGAGACGATGGTAAAGCTCTGAGGTTATCAAGCTGTGAGAGATGGAGGGAGTTCAGGCGGGGCAGAAGGCCGATGGTTGCAGGTAAGCGTCTGAGAGATTCACAGTTTAATATGGAGAGTGACTGTAACGAGTACATGGTGGCTAAGGAGTGTCTTGATTCTGACTCTCCGGCATCAATCCTCTGCTTCTTTGCTGCCGGCAACCCCTCATTCCCATCCCCCTCCTCATCCCCCTCCTCATCCCCCTCCACATCCCCCTCCTCCGTCTCATTCCCCTCCTCCACCTCATCGTCCTCCTCATCCTCCTCATCCCACTCCTTCTCCTCCCACTTGTCCCACATTTTCCTCTCGACCCTCTCATCCCATTCGTCCTTTCCCTCGTCCGTACCATCCCCCACCCCCTCTTCCTTCTCCTCCTTCTCCTTGCCTTCCTCTCCAGAAACCTCTTTGACAACAGCTACAAGTGACTCACAACCTTCGATACGAAGGCATTCCAGGGAGGAGAGGAGGCAGAGTGAGGAGGGGAGGAAGGACAGCATCGGGCAATGGTTGATGTGTAAGTGAGTGAGGGAGGGCGCGAGGAGCGAGAGAGAGTCTGGGATGGAGACAAGGTGTGAGAGAGTGAGGATGGCCAGAGAGGGGAGTGAGAAGAGGGAAGGCGGGAGGTCCCTAATGTGGGGGTTGTGCCACAAGTCAATGTGAAGTCTCTGCAACGACGTCACCGAACTCAACACCTCTAGTGCAGCCGGCTCAGCAGGGGTAATAAGCGAGCCACTTTCGGCAGCAGCAGCAGCACCTGCAGCAGCAGCGGCACCATCAGCAGCAGCACCAGCAGCAGCAGCAGCACCATCAGCAGCAGCACCTGCAGCAGCTGCTGCACGAGCAGCACCAGCAGCAGCAGGATCACTTGCTCTGATATGACCCCCATCCACCAGTGGTGCTGCTCGCAGCGGCGCTTGGCTGTTAGCGCCAGCAGCATTGTTCACAGCATTGCTGCTACCACCTTCCCCAGCCGTAGTGGCTGCATCCGCAGCAGTGCTAGTTACCGCAGCAGTGCCGGTTACATCTGCAGCCCCGGTTACATCAGCAGTGCCGATTGCACCAGCGGCTCTCAATATAGTAGCATGACCGGATATAGTAGCAGTGCCACTTATAGTGGCAGTACCAATCAACGATGCAACACCGCTTATAACAACAGTCCCGCTTATCGTAACCGTGCCAGTTGAACCACCTTCGCATGTTATAGTCGCAGTACCAGTTACTGTAGCAGTGCCGGTTACCACTGCTGGGTCAGGCACGGCAGCAGGTTCGGCTGTAGCAGCAGCGCTGCGAGAAGTTCTAGGTGGTGGCTGGTCTAGGGAAGAGAGGCGGTGCAGGGTCAAGTGTTGGAGGGATGAGAGGTGAGCGAGGAAGGATGGGAGGCGGGAAAGACGGGTGCATTGTGAGATGGTCAGGGAGCGGAGCGAGGGGAGGGGGGCAGGGGAGGAGGGAGGAGGAGACACAGCAGCAGCGGCCTCCTGATAGTTGTGCATCATGTGACCATGAACAGGGCTATCCCCTTCAAAGAGTGCTTCCATACGCACGTTATAGTCCACGTTCAGATGCTGCAGGGACGACAGCCACTGCCAGGCATGGGGAAGGTTCGGCAGGCGATCGCAGCGGGAAACACACAGGCTCGTGAGCGATGGAAGGAACACCGGGATGGGAGATTTGCCTCTGCCGCCGCCACTGCTGCTGCTGCTGGCGGCAGTGGCAGCGGTGGCGAGCTGAGAGGCTGCTGTTGCTTTCTGAACAGGGCTGCTGCTTTCCGCAGCTGCTTCATTGAGTGGTGGTGAAGGAGGGGGAGGAGGAGGAAGAGGAGGAGAAGGGAGAGTGGTGAGTGCGGCACAGCTGCAGAGGTGCAGGGAGGATAGCGAGGAGAGGAGCGTGAGGGAGCAGGGAAGGGTCCGCAGGGAATCGCATGAAATGATGCTGAGGTCACGGAGAGAGTGGGAGAGGAGGTGGAGGGAGGAGGGGAGTGAGGAGAGGAGTGGGAGGCCGGAGAGAGTGAGGGAGCGGAGGTTGGCCATCAGAGAGAGGTCGTTGGGAAGGGAGGAGAGAGACGGGAATTCTGCGAGTGTGAGGTGGACCAGGGACGGAGATAAGGCGGCTAGGGTGTAATCTGGTATCTCTGTAACTTTTTCCCATCTGAATAACTCCAGACATTCCAATCCCGCCCCTATTTCCTCCGCATCCTCTTTACTACCGGGCCCGCTATAAGTCTCCCCGTTGCCCCGTTTCAACCCCCCCCCAGGGTTTCCATCGGCTTCAGTTGCTGGTGCGGTCTCCGCAGAGAGAGAAACGGCTGCGGCTCCTGCGGCGGTAGGGGGACCTGCGGCGAGGATCGTTGGCAGGGTATCTCGAAGGCAGGGGAGATAGCCGAGAGTGAGCGCGCGGAGGCGGGGAAGGCGCGCGGGGAGGCGCAGCGGAATGGCGGAAAGATAATAGGACTCGCGGAGCTCGAGGGACTCGAGAAGGGGGAGGGCGGCGGGGAGGGACGCGGGGAGGGCGCGGAGGTAATGACGGGAGAGGGAGAGGTGGCGGAGGGAGGAGAGGGTGGGGAGAGGGCGTCGGGGAGGAGGAGGATCGTGCGGAAGCGGGAGGGAGGAGAGCGGAAGCGTCTTCGAATCTTCGTTCTTCTGACTCGAATCGCTGTGACTTGAGTCCTCGTCTGAATAGCTGGAAGTGTCTGATTCGATAGAATCGCCTCCGTTTTCGTCCATGCCCGTTGATAAGCCGGTGGGAAGCTTTTTCAGGAAATCCGCGCGGATAGATAGACGGACGAGAGCGGAGAGCTGACAGAATCCGTCAGGAAAGCGTTTCAGTCCCCACGCTGTGATCACTAGCGCCGTCAAGCGATTCAGCTCGCAGATTGACGGAGGGAGGAGGGTCAGATTAGGCGGGCAGTGCAGCTGCAGAGACTCGAGCCGCGGGCAGGAATTAAAAAGAGACGCCAGCCCTGCAGCAGTGAAAGAGACCCGGGGATCGCATCGAGGCCCTTTTGTCGCGTAGCGCCTGCTGGGAAGCAATCGCGGCTCGCCCATGTCTCCCAGGTGGAAGTGAGCGAGGGATGGGCACGTGGCAGCTACCTGCTTCAAAAGATGATCGTTGGCCAACGAGACGCTGCCATCTGGCAGGGTGAGCGATTTCAGCGACGGAAATGAAGGGAGACCTTTCAAAAAACGTCCGGCGCACAATCGACGATTCTGCGACAGTGCGACGTGCGATCTAGTCGCACATGCGACGCGGTGCCAATGGCGACAGACGAGAATGAAGCTTCCCTGAAGATTCGATTCCGTCCGCCATAAGGGTTTCGAGTCTATGCTCGAGGGACTGAAAAGCGGCCGATCTCGGTCTGATTCGACGTAGCGAAATACAAACCCTGAGCTCTGACCGCGAGGGTGCTGCTGCAGATGGGGAGCTGAGGAATCTACACGTGGCGTCGGTGCAACATAGCTGAAGATTCGACCGAGCAGATCGTCAGACAATTGGTGGATCGAAGTTGACTCTATAGCGCTGGCTTCTAACGTCTGCATACTACCAGTACCAGCCATGGCTTCCATTCCTGGTGCGGTGAGCGTAGCTATGGTTCTGGCTGGATTCTGTGCAGCACTTGCTGGTTCTGTAATTGCTGCTTCTGGTGGCACTGTACTGTACCGGAATTCCCAAGGCTGGTGGTGGTGAATCGGTGATCACCTTGGGTGCGGAGTGGATAAGGATGGAGAGTGCCGAACATCACCGCACTCAATTGCAACGCATTACAAATGAATGGATTGTCCCGATATGCAGTGGTTCGGAAGGATAACACTCCACCTTGTGTACACCTGTTATAGAAAGCACTTTTCCAGTGCAAGCTCTTGCATATTTCACAAGGGGTCGTGCTCTACTGGTGAAACGAAGGAAAAGTACTACCGGTAGCAGCAACGTCTGCAACATGGTGGCTACCTAGGCCGACTGCCTTGCTCGATCAATGAGCGGGCGAAGCTGCTTCTTCTCGGCGAGAATCTTGAGGAAGTTGAAGAGGAAGGGGATGTAGTTGTGCTTCCTGCGAATGTTCTCCGTCCGCCACCGCCGGTACTTCTCCTCCTCTCCTGCCATTGAATCTGCAAGTGGCAGTGGGAAAGGGGGGTTGAAAAGAGTTCATGCAAGGCACTGTTCCTCCATCCGCCACTGCCTCACCTGCTATGGAATCTGCTCGTTTAAACAAGACATCTGTGTTCCCCACATGATAAGGCCACAAAACAGATTATTCTCACCTTGCAAATGCGCCATCCCTCTCACCTTCCCAGGGCATTCCAGGGCCACTACATTCCAGACCACTGCCTCATCTAAAGCAGTTCTCACCGTCCCTCACACCTTGCGCATGTGCCACCTGCATCTCAATCTCCGCCAACTCCCCCTCCAGCGCCCCCACATCCCCCCCTTCACCTCCATCCACCTCCATCCCCCCTCCCCCTCCGCGCCTCTCAATCTCCCCCAGCAGCCCTTCCTTCCGCGCCCTCAGAGCCCCCAGCCGCTCCTCCAGAGCCTCTTTCCTGTTGCGCACCACAGCCATGAGGTTGAATCGGATCTCACTCTCTGCATACTTGTCACCTTGCATGCCACCTCCATCACCTTCTCAGGGCACCCAACAAAACAATTCTCACTCACCTTGCACATGTGCCATCTGCATTTCAATCTCTGCCAGTTCCCCCTCCAACGCCCCATCGCCCCCATCCACCTCCATCCCCCCTCCACCTCCCCCTCCGCCTCTCCTCTCAATCTCCTCCTTCCGCGCCCTCAGAGCCCCCAGCCTCTCCTCCAGAGCCTCTTTCCTGTTGCGCACCACAGCCATGAGGTTGAATCGGATCTCACTCTCTGCATACTTGTCAATGCGCTGCTGAATCACAGGCTGCACCATGCGTAACCATGCCATGTCCTCCTCCTCTTCCTTCCCCTCCCCCTCCCTCTCCCCTTCCTTGCTCCCTCCCTTGTCTTCTACCCCTCCTCCACCTTCTCCTCCTTCCATGCCTCCCTCTGGTTTCACGTCTGTTTTTTCCTCTCCTGGGTCACCGCCCGAGCCTTTTCCCGAACCTGGGACCTCCCCGAGCCGGATAGGTCCGGGCTTGAGCCCATCCAGCTCATACAGCACCCCGTTAATCGGCACGTAGCTAATGAAATGATACACGTCGTCGTCTTTTTCTGCCGCCCGGGCCTCCTCGGCAGCTACTATGGCCTCTGGGCGGCTGAAGCTGTTGTGAGCGGCGCGGATGGCCTCACTGTTGTTGATGGCGAGGCCCTTCAGCTCGGGGGGGAAATCGCGGGTGAAATCGCGGAGTGTGGAGAGTTCCGGCCCGATTTCAATGCGGTTGGATGCGTTTAGGAGGATTGAGATGATCGCCTGGGTCGCACATGCGTTACTGATCACCTGGGTATGGGAGGTCAAGGAGAAAGAGTGAACACATTTGATAAGGATGAGCGGTAGGAATTTCAATCCCAACTTCCCCACCCCTCCCCCCCCTCCGGGCCTCCTCGGCAGCTACTATGGCTTCCGGGCGGCTGAAGCTGTTGTGGGCAGCACGAATTGCCTCACTGTTGTTGATGGCAAGGCCCTTCAGCTCGGGGGGGAAGTCGCGGGTGAAATCGCGGAGTGTGGAGAGCTCCGGACCGATTTCAATGCGGTTGGATGCGTTTAAGAGGATTGAGATGATCGCCTGGGTTGCACACGCGTTGCTGATTATTTGAGAATGGGAGGTCAAGGAGAAAGAGTGAACACATGTGATAAGGATGAGTGGTAAGAATCCCAACTCCCCTTTCCCGGGCCTCCTCGGCAGCTACTATGGCTTCCGGCCGGCTGAAGCTGTTGTGGGCCGCACGAATCGCCTCACTGTTGTTGATGGCGAGGCCCTTCAGCTCGGGGGGGAAGTCGCGGGTGAAATCGCGGAGTGTGGAGAGTTCCGGCCCGATTTCAATGCGGTTGGATGCGTTTAGGAGGATTGAGATGATTGCCTGGGTCGCACACGCATTGCTGATTACCTGAGTATGGGAGGATAAGGAAAGGAGTGTGTGGGGTAGGATTCAAGAGCAGGTTCACGTGCAACATTCATGACAAGTGGAGATTCTAGGTGTACCAGGTGGAAAACACAGGAGTGTCAGGTGGAGAATACATGACAAGTGGTAATGCTAGGTGTGCTAGGAGGAAAATATAGGAGTGTCAGGAGGAAACTACATGACAAGGGGAGATTACAGATGTGCCAGGAGAGAATGATAAGTGTGTTAGCTAGAATTCATAATCAGAGAATGCTGTTTCGAATAACACTAATTCTTGTCTTCCTCACTTCTAAAGAATCTGACACTGGTTCTTGTCTCCACTGGAAAAAGGAGAGAAGAGTGGCTCAACACCCAAGCGGGCTGTAGGAAGGCGTATGGGAAGTCGTTCATGACAGCTGCAGAGCATGCTACAGCTACACATCACCAATGTGCAGCCTCTACACATCCACAGGCTGATGAGACATAGAACTCTTACTAACGGCAGAATGTTGTACGATAGTAGGAGCCAATCTCTCATCAACCTGTGGATGAGTAGGGGCTGCACGTTGGTAATGTGCAGCTGTACCATGCTCTGCAGCTGTCATAATCGACTTTTATGCGCCTTCCCACAGCCTGCTTGAGTGCAGAGCCACTCTTCTCTGTTGCTTTCAGTGGCGACAAAACATGGGTCCTTCAGGAGTGGGGTCACTAACTGTGAGATACTCAGAAATGCGGCTGTGAGAGACAATTGCAATGTTACTTACTGGTGAGAAAGGTAATGACTGAATACAGTTCAGAAATGATGCTTCTCTATTACCATTGGTCATGTAAACTCATTCCAATATAAAATTTCACCCCCCTCCCCATATTATTCCGCCAACTTGTGACGAACGCATGATGAAACTTCTCATAACATAATGATGCTCCACAGAGAGCTTGACAGTAACACAGGGTAGTGGATGAGCCACACCTGGTTTGCAAAGAAGACGGCCAGAGCAGCAGTGTCAGGCACCATGGGGCGCGTGTCCAGCCCGCCTGGACGCCAGCTAGAGACCTCAATACTCCCTATTTCATCCCTCATCACACTCTAGCCCTGTCCCGCTCCTTCTCAACGACCCAACCCACCTGATTCACAAAAAACACACCTGCGGCAAGCAGTGTCGGGCATGGTGGGGCGCATGTCCATCTCGCCTTCACCCAACTAGAGACCTCTTAAAGCACTCCAACCACTCACCCTACCTTCCTTAGCACCTCATTCTATCCCCAACCGTCTCTGCACCCTCCAACCCACCTGGCTGGCAAAGAACACGTACGGAGCAGCAGAGTCGGGCACGGTGGGGCGCGTGTCCAGCTCGCCTGTACTCAAGTAGAGACCTCACAGCACCTCATTCTATCCCTCAAAACCCTATTTCATCCCTCTCCACACCCACTCAACTCAACCCACCTGGCTGGCAAAGAACACGTCTGGAGCAGCCGAGTCTGGCACGGTGGGGCGTGTGTCAAGCTCGTCTGGAAAGGCCTCACAACACCCCATCCTGTCCCTGCCCCTCTCTCTCTCCCTATCCTCCCAGACCCACCTGGCTGGCAAAGAACACATCTGGAGCGGCAGAGTCGGGCACTGTGGGGCGCGTGTCCAGCTTGCCTGGGCGCAACTAGAGACCTAAGAGCAACCTATTTTATCCCTCAGAACCGTAACTCAAACCCTCTCCCATCACCCCGCCCAATCCACCTGGCTGGCAAAGAAAACGTCTGGAGCAGCGGAGTCGGGCACGGTGGGGCGCGTGTCCAGCTCGCCTGGACGCCACTTGAAGAGGAATATGAGCCCGTACACGGGGCTGGTAGTGGGGAGGTGGGGGAGGGGAAGAAGAGAACGGGGGTGGGGAGGGTGGGATAGACTTTCAATCGACTCACTGCTCGCCTGGGCGCCACTTGAAGAGGAATATGAGCCCGTACACGGGGCTGGTAGTGTGGGGGGGGTGGGGTGGGGTGGGGTAGGGAAGGAAAGGCTTTTTGTTGGCTCACAAGCCGCCTGGGCTCTATGCATAGCCTTGTGTACGGCCTCATTTTCCGCGTGTACACAGGGCTGGGGAAAAGAGCATGGGGAGGGATTGGCAGAGCAGTAAAGGCGATGGGATCGCGTTGATTCTTGAATCGAGTCACTGGGTGATGGAATGGGATCGGACAGGAGACTTTTGAACTCTTAAAGTCGTCTTGCCTTCACTTGAGAAGCAAGTTGTAACCGTGCAACGGGCAGCAGAGGAGGAGGCGAAAGGAGCGGAAGAGGGGAAAAAGAGGGGGCGATTGGACTAACAAAGGGAATCCATTGATAAGCTGCTGTAGAGTGAACGGTGTTTATCCAGCAGGTGCTTAGATAGAATGATAATGCACCTGATGGTTTACAAAGACACCTGATATTTCAACAGAGAGGACCTGAGCTGCTTGAGAGCGTACAGGTCCAGGCTGTAGAGCTCTCCCACGTGGTGTGGTTCACACCTGAGATTTCACCTGAGAGTACCTGAGCTGCTTGAGGGCGTCTAGATCCAAGCTGTAAAGCTCTCCCACGTGGTGTGGTTCACACCTGAGATTTCACCTGAGAGTACCTGAGCTGCTTGAGGGCGTCCAGATCCAAGCTGTAAAGCTCTCCCACGTGGTGTGGTTCACACCTGAGATTTCACCTGAGAGTACCTGAGCTGCTTGAGGGCGTCCAGATCCAGGCTGTAGAGCTCCTCCACCTGAGAGGAAGTGAAAGAGTGAGGGAGGGAGGGAGGGAGGGAGGGAGGGAGGGAGGGAGGGAGGGAGGGAGGGAGGGAGGGAGGGAGGGAGGAGGAGAGGGAGTGAGAGAGGGAGTGAGAGAGGGAGTGAGAGAGAGAGGAGTGAGAGAGGGAGTGAGAGAGGGAGTGAGTGAGGGAGTGAGAGAGGGATCGAGGAAAGGGATGAGGGATTGAGGGAGGAAGTGAGGGGGGGGCGGGCGTGAGGGTGTGAGCGGGTGAGAGGGGGGGTGATTGAGGAAGGGTGTGAGGAGGGAGACAGTGAAAAAAGTGAGAATGGATGGAATGGAGACGTGCAACTCAGGCAACTCAAAATCGAGAAGTGGAGTGGAGAGGATGGGGAAGAGTAGAGATGGGGGGATGTGCATGCAAGCACAAGGAGCTACTCTTCAGACAAAGGGAGGGGCCAAAAGTTTCAAGTGATCTTTATTTAAGAACACGCTTGCACCACACCTTCCCTCTCCCCATCCCAACCCCCATGCGGTTCTGTTATTATTGCTGACTGTTCACCCCATACCTGCACGCCCTTCACCCCATACCTGCACGCCCATACCTGCACGCCCATACCTGCACGCCCATACCTGCACGCCCTTCACTTGCATCTGCTGCATCAGCTCCGTGAAAACCCCTGTGGAAAGAGAGCGGGGGGGCGGGCAAAGGGAGCGGGGCGCAGGCAAAGGGTCGTGGTTGCAGGACGAAAATCAGGAGCAGAGGGAAACCCCGTTTCTGCACGCCCTTTTTGAGGCGCCTCAAAAATCGTTCCTGCACGCCCTTCACTTGCATCTGCTGCATCAGCTCCGTGAAAACCCCTGTGGGTGAGAGCGCGCGGCGGGAAAAAAGGTCAGGTTTGCGGAGTGAAAATTAAGGTTGCAAACGGGCAGAAGAAGAGCGAAACGAGTGAGCATGGGGCCACACACGTTGGTGCTCAAGATGGGCCACAGCATGTTACTTATAACAATTCTCAAAAGTAACACAAAAGTGGGGCCAAAACACCGAGTTACACTAGTGAAGGGAGCATGGATGGGTCACTGGAGGGGAGGGGAGGCAAGGTGAAGATCGGAAGGCACAAACCACACGGGCTACCTTCCGAACCAAGCACCGAGCCACGCACCGCCACGCATCGAGTCGACTCAAAACCAAGCACCGAGCCGCGCATCGAGTCAAGGAACGGGCCAAGATACCAACCCACGAACATAGCCAAGCACAGAACCAAGACGCAAATCCACGCACGCACCTGGATCCGATTCTATTGTACACCGCGACATGGCAGGAAACGCTCTTGCACACGCCCCACTCCTGTTCCCCTTCCTTCCGCCCTTCCTCCTCCCCCCCTTCCCCACTCCCGCTCTTTCATCCCTCGCCAGCACACACACCTGGATCCGACTCTATTGTACACCACGACATGGCGGGAAACGCGCCGCGCCCACTAGTTCTCCAATTCAGAGAACTAAGCTCCCGGGAGCCGCTATAATGGCCGGGAGGACTGCCGGTTGCGTGAGGTCAGGCGCGGCGGCAGCAGATCGCGGGGAGCGCGACGGCGCGCGGCGATCGGACGATGCGTGGAGCGCAGAGCAAACGACACGATCTGAGGCGACGAAGGTGGTTTGCGGTGTGACAGTATCGAGCGGCGCACGACGGACGCAAAGTACCAGCGTGATTGGCGGTAGAAGCTGAAGTTATCATGAACAACACATGTTGGCTGGCGAATCCGGGTGGCTGGACGGACACGTGACGCTAGATTGAAGGAAAGCGTGTTTGCGATAACCGCTAACGAAAACTCCGAAACAATTTTAACTATCAGCTATTGCACACCTGGGCAGCTGGAACATTCTTGCATTTGGGATGTTATGCTGCTTACCACATACTAAACTCCACAAATGAATAAAAAGAACGGCTAAGGGCGATTAAGGCATAATGTAAGGAATTCCTTCTCAAGACAGAATTTTCTTATAGAACGATGTGTAACGCGAAACAAAATTATTGGAATGGCGATACTGTATTTTCAAGCATGAATGAATGATAAAAGGAATGATTTCGCATAGATAATAGAGACACCGTACATTCAACACAGTATTGTAGACAATAGAGTGGAACGTTACGCTATGGTCGATTTGGTATTATATCAACAATGTGGTGTTATTCTAGCGATTACAATACTGTAGTCAGCATGCACGCCAGTTCCTCCCAGCAGCTTCCAGGAAGCGCTGCACAGCCAGAGCAGGCAGCTCGCAGCCGCCCAGATCCACGCCGCCCTTCTTGGCGAGCTTTGCCGCACCGTGGAAGTCCGACCCTCCGATCTTCAAAAGCCCGTGTGCGTTGGCAAGGCGGCAATACTCTGATGGCGGATGGGAGGGGTAAAATGGAGGTGGTAGATGGGGAGGAAGAGCAAGGAAGCGAGGGGTTTATTCCCCTTCCTGGCGAGCTTCGCCGCCCCGTGGAAGTCCGACCCTCCGATTTCGAGCAGCCCGTGTGCGTTGGCAAGGCGGCAGTACTCTGATGGGTGGTAGGATGATTGGGGGAAAGGGGAAGTGGTAGAAAGGAAGTGGGAGGTGAGCGGTTCGTTGCCCTTCTTGGCGAGCTTAGCTGCCCCGTGGAAGTCCGACCCTCCGATCTTTAACAACCCATGCGCGTTGGCTAGTCGGCAGTACTCTGACGACGGATGGGAGGGGTGAAATGGAGGGAGTAGAGAGGAAGAGTAAAAAAAGGCGAGCTTTGGGGTTTATTCCCCTTCCTGGCGAGCTTCGCCGCCCCGCGGAAGTCCGACCCGCCGATTTTCAAAAGCCCGTGCGCGTTGGCAAGGCGGCAGTACTCTGATGGGTGGTAGGATGGGGAAGTGGGGAGGGATAGAGAGGAAGCGAGAGGTGTGGGGGTCATTCCTTTTCTTGGTGACTAGGTGCGGGGGTCATTCCTTTTCTTGGTGACTAGGTGCGGGGGTCATTCCTTTTCTTGGTGACTAGGTGCGGGGGTCATTCCTTTTCTTGGTGACTAGGTGTGGGGGTCATTCCTTTTCTTGGTGACTAGGTGCGGGGGTCATTCCTTTTCTTGGTGACTAGGTGCGGGGGTCATTCCTTTTCTTGGTGACTAGGTGCGGGGGTCATTCCTTTTCTTGGTGACTAGGTGCGGGGGTCATTCCTTTTCTTGGTGACTAGGTGCGGGGGTCATTCCTTTTCTTGGTGACTAGGTGCGGGGGTCATTCCTTTTCTTGGTGACTAGGTGCGGGGGTCATTCCTTTTCATGGTGACTAGGTGCGGGGGTCATTCCTTTTCTTGGTGACTAGGTGCGGGGGTCATTCCTTTTCTTGGTGACTAGGTGCGGGGGTCATTCCTTTTCTTGGTGACTATGTGCGGGGGTCATTCCTTTTCTTGGTGACTAGGTGCGGGGGTCATTCCTTTTCTTGGTGACTAGGTGCGGGGGTCATTCCTTTTCTTGGTGACTAGGTGCGGGGGTCATTCCCCTTCTTGGCGGGCTTTGCCGCCCCGTGGAAGCTTCAACGTCAGCTCAGAAGTTTCCAGGAAGCGCTGCACGGCCAGAGCAGGCAGCTCGAATCGCAGCCACCCAGATCCACACCGCCCTTGTTGGCGAGCTGGTGGGCTGGTGGGCTCACATACCTATATAAACACCTTCTCATTGCCCCACCACCACCTACCTTCCTGAATCTCCTTCCCCCGATACACCTCCATGCCCACCAGCCCATCCACAACCCACCAGGCCTTTGATGCCTCAAGTGCACCTCTAACCATCACCCACCTACCCAAACCTCACCACGAGTTAAGACCCTCACCACCCAATTTCCTGAATCTCCTTGCCTCTCTACACCTCCATGCCCACCAACTTAGCGCCAGCCACCCGCTTCAAAGCCCTCAGCACCAACCTCCGTGAAGTCCAACAAGACGTATCAAAGCCCTTACAACCCACCTTCCTGGATCTCTTTCCCTCGGTACACCTCCATGCCCACCAGCCCTGCGCCCGCCACCCGCTTCAGCATCCCCCTTAGTGCGCTCTCCGGTATAGTCCACGGGTGCGCCAGCACTGCCGCCCCCCCTGCCTCGTTTATAACGCGAATGGCCTCAGCCACTGGGATTTCGGAGCCCCTGGGGCGAGATATGGGTTTGGGAAGGGGCAGAGAGGAAGGTGAGATTGGCTTCCCACTCACTGCGGTCCGTCCACCCACACCTCCCCTGCCTCGTTTATAACGCGAATGGCCTCAGCCACTGGGATTTCGGAGCCCCTGGGGCGAGAAGGTGAGGAAAAAGGGCAGGGGGGGGGCAGAAGGGGTGGGTCTTTCATGGATGCTACCTGCACTGTGTTGCCCACTTATACAGATTGCGTATGGCCTCAGCCAGTGGGATTTGGTTCATGAAAAGTCTCAAAAACCAGCTCTTATACAGATTGCGTATGGCCTCAGCCAGTGGGATTTGGTTCATGAAAAGTCTCAAAAACCAGCTCTTATACAGATTGCGTATGGCCTCAGCCAGTGGGATTTGGTTCATGAGAAGTCTCAAAAACCAGCTCTTATACAGATTGCGTATGGCCTCAGCCAGTGGGATTTGGTTCATGAGAAGTCTCAAAAACCAGCTCTTATACAGATTGCGTATGGCCTCAGCCAATGGGATTTGGTTCATGAGAAGTCTAAAAAACCAGCTCTTATACAGATTGCGTATGGCCTCAGCCAGTGGGATTTGGTTCATGAGAAGTCTCAAAAACCAGCTCTTATACAGATTGCGTATGGCCTCAGCCAGTGGGATTTGGTTCATGAAAAGTCTCAAAAACCAGCTCTTATACAGATTGCGTATGGCCTCAGCCAGTGGGATTTGGTTCATGAGAAGTCTCAAAAACCAGCTCTTATACAGATTGCGTATGGCCTCAGCCAGTGGGATTTGGTTCATGAGAAGTCTCAAAAACCAGCTCTTATACAGATTGCGTATGGCCTCAGCCAGTGGGATTTGGTTCATGAAAAGTCTCAAAAACCAGCTCTTATACAGATTGCGTATGGCCTCAGCCAGTGGGATTTGGCTCATGAAAAGTCTCAAAAACCAGCTCTTATACAGATTGCGTATGGCCTCAGCCAGTGGGATTTGGTTCATGAGAAGTCTCAAAAACCAGCTCTTATACAGATTGCGTATGGCCTCAGCCAGTGGGATTTGGTTCATGAGAAGTCTCAAAAACCAGCTCTTATACAGATTGCGTATGGCCTCAGCCAGTGGGATTTGGTTCATGAGAAGTCTCAAAAACCAGCTCTTATACTGATTGCGTATGGCCTCAGCCACTGGGATTTGGTTCATGAGAAGTCTCAAAAACCAGCTCTTATACAGATTGCGTATGGCCTCAGCCAGTGGGATTTGGTTCATGAAAAGTCTAAAAAACCAGCTCTTATACAGATTGCGTATGGCCTCAGCCAGTGGGATTTGGTTCATGAGAAGTCTCAAAAACCAGCTCTTATACAGATTGCGTATGGCCTCAGCCAGTGGGATTTGGTTCATGAGAAGTCTCAAAAACCAGCTCTTATACAGATTGCGTATGGCCTCAGCCAGTGGGATTTGGTTCATGAAAAGTCTCAAAAACCAGCTCTTATACAGATTGCGTATGGCCTCAGCCAGTGGGATTTGGTTCATGAGAAGTCTCAAAAACCAGCTCTTATACAGATTGCGTATGGCCTCAGCCAGTGGGATTTGGTTCATGAGAAGTCTAAAAAACCAGCTCTTATACAGATTGCGTATGGCCTCAGCCAGTGGGATTTGGTTCATGAGAAGTCTCAAAAACCAGCTCTTATACAGATTGCGTATGGCCTCAGCCAGTGGGATTTGGTTCATGAGAAGTCTCAAAAACCAGCTCTTATACAGATTGCGTATGGCCTCAGCCAGTGGGATTTGGTTCATGAGAAGTCTCAAAAACCAGCTCTTATACAGATTGCGTATGGCCTCAGCCAGTGGGATTTGGTTCATGAGAAGTCTCAAAAACCAGCTCTTATACAGATTGCGTATGGCCTCAGCCAGTGGGATTTGGTTCATGAGAAGTCTCAAAAACCAGCTCTTATACAGATTGCGTATGGCCTCAGCCAGTGGGATTTTGGTTCATGAGAAGTCTCAAAAACCAGCTCTTATACAGATTGCGTATGGCCTCAGCCAGTGGGATTTGGTTCATGAGAAGTCTCAAAAACCAGCTCTTATACAGATTGCGTATGGCCTCAGCCAGTGGGATTTGGTTCATGAGAAGTCTCAAAAACCAGCTCTTATACAGATTGCGTATGGCCTCAGCCAGTGGGATTTGGTTCATGAGAAGTCTCAAAAACCAGCTCTTATACAGATTGCGTATGGCCTCAGCCAGTGGGATTTTGGTTCATGAGAAGTCTCAAAAACCAGCTCTTATACAGATTGCGTATGGCCTCAGCCAGTGGGATTTGGTTCATGAGAAGTCTCAAAAACCAGCTCTTATACAGATTGCGTATGGCCTCAGCCAGTGGGATTTGGTTCATGAGAAGTCTAAAAAACCAGCTCTTATACAGATTGCGTATGGCCTCAGCCAGTGGGATTTGGTTCATGAGAAGTCTCAAAAACCAGCTCTTATACAGATTGCGTATGGCCTCAGCCAGTGGGATTTGGTTCATGAGAAGTCTCAAAAACCAGCTCTTATACAGATTGCGTATGGCCTCAGCCAGTGGGATTTGGTTCATGAGAAGTCTAAAAAACCAGCTCTTATACAGATTGCGTATGGCCTCAGCCAGTGGGATTTGGTTCATGAAAAGTCTCAAAAACCAGCTCTTATACAGATTGCGAATGGCCTCAGCCACTGGGATTTGGTTCATGAGAAGTCTCAAAAACCAGCTCTTATACAGATTGCGTATGGCCTCAGCCAGTGGGATTTGGTTCATGAAAAGTCTCAAAAACCAGCTCTTATACAGATTGCGTATGGCCTCAGCCAGTGGGATTTGGTTCATGAAAAGTCTCAAAAACCAGCTCTTATACAGATTGCGTATGGCCTCAGCCAGTGGGATTTGGTTCATGAAAAGTCTCAAAAACCAGCTCTTATACAGATTGCGTATGGCCTCAGCCAGTGGGATTTGGCTCATGAAAAGTCTCAAAAACCAGCTCTTATACAGATTGCGTATGGCCTCAGCCAGTGGGATTTGGTTCATGAGAAGACTAAAAATCCAGCTCTTATACAGACTGCGTAAGGCCTCAGTCAGCCACTGGGATTTCCAAGCCCCTAAGGTGAGAGATGGGTGTGCAGGATGGGGTGGTGGAGAGGGGAATACAAGAGCTGGTGACGTTTGAGTCAACTCAAAAGCCCTTTCTGTTAATGCTGCCTTCTCTGCATCTCATATAGCGCGTATGGACTCAGACAATGGGATGTCATTGTCCCTGTGGAGAGCGATGGGTGCGGGAAAAAGGGCAGAAGGGAGTAAGGGTGTTGGCTTCTTGCTTACAGCCACCCCCCCTGCCTCTCACATAATGCGTATGGCATTAGGGAGAGGGATGCTGAAGGGTTTTTTTGAGAATTCTCAAAAAAAACCTTCGAGATTTCAGGGCAATGGAAGGAAGAAATGAGCGGGCAAGTGTGGGCCAGGGAACACTAGGACTGGCTTTTCCGGTATGGTATGTATGCATGCACACACATACGAACAAGTGATTTTTGAGAATTCTAAAAAATCACTTGCATGGTGTGTATGCATACACACACGTACCAATGCACCTCACATAAGCTGGCCCATGGTCCGCTATGTATTACTGGAACACCTCTCTCCTCCATGCCAGGCCCCCCACTGCCCCCACTGCCCCCACTGCACCACACTGCGCTCAAGCACACACGCACACGGGCTCTCATGCACGCTTTGCCCCTCTTCCCCCTCCCTCTCAAGCACACACCTCACATAAGCTGGCCATATCCCCTATGTATTGCTGGAGTGCCTCCTCCATATCCCCCACCGCCCGCACTGCTCGCACTGCCACCACTGCCCACACCATGATGGTGGCTTGAGTCTTGCTGCTAGAGTAACACTCCCGCATTGAGTCTCATTCTCTCTCATGCACGCACCTCACATACGCCGGTCCATGCCCCCCACTGCCCGCACTGCCAGCAGCACTGCCAGCACCATAACGGTGGCTTGAGTCTCGCTGCTAGAGTAACACTCCCGGATTGAGTCTCACTCTCTCTCAAGCACGCACCTCACATACGCCGGCACATGGTCCCCTATGTACTGCTGAAACGCCTCCTCCATGTCCCCCACCGCCCGCACTGCCATTTCCACTGTGAGCCCGCTCCTCTTTTCTCTCTCTTCCTCTATCCACTTCCTCTTTCCACTGTAAACCCTCACCTCACATAAGCCGGCCCATGGTCCCCAATGTACTTCTGAAACGCCTCCTCCATGTCCCCCACTGCCCGCACTGCCACCAGCGCCCTCGCCACGTGCACCCTGCCTGGTGCTGTCTTGGGATCGTCCAGTTGCTGGTGAGGGAGTGTGGACAGGGAACGAGGGAAGTTCGAGAGGACGCTACATGTGCTGGTGCCCTCACTGCTCTCCTTCCCCACTGCCACCAGCGCCCTCGCCACGTGCACCCTGCCTGGTGCTGTCTTAGGATCGTCCAGTTGCTGGTGAGGGAAACGAAGGGTAGGAGTTTAGGAGATTGGAGGAGGGGAGTTAATACAGCACTGGCCCCACTGCTCGCACTGCCACCAGCGCCCTTGCCACGTGCACCCTGCGCGGTGCTGTGTTGGGATCGTCCAGTTGCTGGGGAGGGGAAGGCAAAGGGAGCAGGGGAAACGGGTGCCAAGAATCATTACATCATATGCGCTAATGGTCCCCTCTGCTTCCCCCACTACCCGCACCGTCACCAGCGCCGCACCCTGCCCGGTGCCGTCTTGGGATCGTCCAGTTGCTGGGGAGGGAAATCAGGGCGATGAGAAATAACGGGAAATTGTGACTTTTGAGTCGACTCAAAAGTCAAGGGCGATAAGGGAAATAACGGGGAAATTGAGCCCGCACTGCCACCAGCGCCCTTGCCACATGAACCCTGCCTGGTGCTGTCTTGGGATTGTCCAGTTGCTGGGGAGGGGAGGAATGCACAAAGGGAACGGGCGAATCGGGTGCTAAAGGTCGTTACATAACATGCGCCAATAGTCCCCTCTGCTTCCGAATCTGCCACCAGCGCCCTCGCCACATGCACGCTGCCTGGTGCTGTCTTGGGATCGTCCAGTTGCTGGGGAGGGGGCAATGAAGGGTGAGAGACCGGAAGTAGGGGCAGAGCAGGGTCAATATAAGTACACGGGAAATGTGCAAGCATCCGGGAAATGTGCAAGCATCCGGGAAATGTGCAAGCATCCGGGAAATGTGCAAGCATCCGGGAAATGTGCAAGCATCCGGGAAATGTGCAAGCATCCGGGAAATGTGCAAGCATCCGGGAAATGTGCAAGCATCCGGGAAATGTGCAAGCATCCGGGAAATGTGCAAGCATCCGGGAAATGTGCAAGCATCCGGGAAATGTGCAAGCATCCGGGAAATGTGCAAGCATCCGGGAAATGTGCAAGCATCCGGGAAATGTGCAAGCATCCGGGAAATGTGCAAGCATCCGGGAAATGTGCAAGCATCCGGGAAATGTGCAAGCATCCGGGAAATGTGCAAGCATCCGGGAAATGTGCAAGCATCTGGGAAATGTGCAAGCATCCGGGAAATGTGCAAGCATCCGGGAAATGTGCAAGTACCTGCCAGTCACTCTCAGAGAGCCAGTAAATGAGTGAGATAGCTATTCCAAGAAATTACTTGCAGCGCCTCAAAAGTAAAAAGGAACATTAACACTGCAATCTCTCCCAATATCGCCCATCATTCCACCTGCCATGGGCCCATCCCATCCCCCATGCAATCGGCTTACCACCCCTCTCTTGCATATATCACATCCAATATAGTGACGCTGCAACACTGAAACACACCCCGTATGCCCCGTCCCACCCCATCCCATCCCATCCCGCACCCTCCTCACCTTAATCACATCCGCCATAGTCACAGCCACGCCCAGCTGCTGCAGCCGCTGCACCATGCCTGCCGCCCGCCTGTGCCGCCCCTCCCTGATCCCCTCCAACACCCCCACCAGCTTTTCAAGTCCATTTCCTGCCTTGATCTCCCCTCCTGCACTGCTCTCCCCACCTGCCGTATTCCCTCCTGCACTCCCAACCACACTCCCTGCTCCTTCTGCTGCGCCTTCTGCTGCGCCCTCTGTACCCTCTTGACATGCTAACTTAGCTTCTCGCTCCTCCCCGTCCTCTGCTCCATTCACATCATCACTGACTCGTTGCTTCTTCCCCTCCCCCTCACCTCCCTCCTCTCCCTCCTCCCCATCCTCTCCTTCCTCCTCCCCTTCTCTCCGCTCCTCCCTTCCACATCCATCCCCCTCCCCCCCCCTCCGCACACTCTGCCACCCTTTCCTCCCTTTCCTCTCTCGCATCCCCAAGGGAGGAAAGTACCCCAGCACATGCACCCCTTGACCACCCCTCCCCTCCCTCACCCCCTCCGCTTCACCATCCCTCCTCCTCACTTCTCCTCCCCTCTCGATCCCTCCCCCCTCGTCTCTACAACTCTCTACCCCTCCCTCCTCTTCTTCCATCCCATCTCCTCCACTCCCGTTTGCAGCAGCGCCCCCTCCTGTTATTTTAGGTGCGTGGCAGTCGTAGTAAGCACTGACCTCCACCCCGGGAATCACACACACTCCCACCTCCCGCCCTGCTTCTGTCGCCTCTGCCACCCCTGCCATGCTGTCATGGTCTGTTAGGGCGAGAATGCGCACCTGGTGCAGGGGAAAGGCGAGAGGGGTAAGGAAGAGCACGTGGAAAAGAGAAAAGATGGGAAATTTCTGCTTCTGCCGTCGCCTCTGCCACCCCTGTCATGGTCTGTCAGAGTGAGAAGTCGCACTTGGTGCATGGGAAAGGCGCCAGGGGTAAGAGAGAGCATGTGTGGGAAAGAGAGGAGAGGGGAAATTCCTGCTCTTGCTGTTGCCTTTGCTATCCATCCCTGCCATGCTGTCATGGTCCTTCAAGCGAGAATGCGCACCCGAGGTGTGGCATGTGGCATGTGGCATGTGGCATGTGGCATGTGGCATGTGGCATGTGGCAGGTGGAAGGTGGAAGGGGAAGGAAAATGGGGGGAAGATGGGGGAATACCGCTGCCGTTGCCACTGCCGTATCCCCCCCCCCCCTGATGCCTTTTGCTGTGGGGTTTTAGAATGCGTCAAGGATTCGGGTTTAGGGTCTGTCCAGTGAAATAAAAGCATCAGGGTTTTGGGCTTAACCGCTGGTCCAGGGAGTGCATTGGTTTTCGGATTTGGGGAATAATAGAAAATCGTTGCGACCTACCCAGAATGTCAGCATCAAGTGCAACCTTCTCCAGGTGTCACCTTTTTTAAACCGACTCACAGCTGACCGCTCTGAGCTTTTGGCGAAACGACCTGTCCGACAGCCTCAAGTAACCTTCCCCAGGTGTCACCTGCCCCTTCCCTCAGGTGCCATATGCACCTTCCCCAGGTGTCGCCTGCCCCATGATAGCCTACACCATGCGCCAGATATCACCTACCCCTAGCGTCGCGGCTCGTCTGACGACCTGGGCTGGGGAGAGCGACCCGTCGCTGCACGTGCTGTGGCAGTGGAACTCTACGGGGAAACTGCCCGTTTGGCTGCCCGTTTTGCTGCCCGTTTTGCTACCGTGCCGTGCTGGATCACCACCAAATGTGCCCCCGTTGCTGCTGGCGGCGGGTTTCGCTAGAGAAGCAGCGACATCCGTATCCGTTTCACTAGCGCCGGCCTGTGCGGCGTCTAGGGATTGCCGAGAAAGTTCCTCCGCGGCCTCTAGGGATTGCCGCCGGAATTCCTCCAGAAAGTCGCCCGCGGCGACATGCCTCTTTTGCGCCGCCCTTCGTTTACTCTTGTTACCCTTCGCCATACCTAATCGAAATATATTGTTGCGTAACCTTCGCTGGTATAACCTGGTGTGCGAAAGAACGAGATTCACGACAAGTGAGGTCGGTGCTTGTTACAAAAAAAATCTTGCTAGGTTGCTCATTCTGCGATGGCTGACTGAAAAGGTCAAATCTGCACTGGCCTTGCTGAAATCAATCGAGTGTTTTGAATTCGTTATAAGCCGCACTTCCGACTCGAGTGGTGGCAGATAATCTTGTACAATGGTTTCAAGGACTCAACTGTAACAAAAATTATTGCCCGGGGCCTTCCCGTCAAACACGGCAACGATGAGCCGAACCGCCCCAGCGCCAGAGAAACGCGACCCCGCACAAGCCGTGCCATCTCATTCGCCATCTCTTTTGTTACTGTGCTGACAAACTCTGTCGCATCTTGCAGCACCTACGCAATCCTCTTCGCCACACGTCTTCCAGTGCCACAAAGCAGCTTCTCAGTTTCGCAAATCAAAGTCGCTCAGTCTAGAATCTCTGTTACACCTGGTTCCCAGAGTTCGCTCGTCTTCGCGTTTTATCAACTCAGCCAAACCTCACATCCCCCGTTATAAAAACGCAGCTCCCAGTCTCCCTTCACAAATCACAACCCCCATCTCCACAGCTTGTTTTCTCGTCGTGCTTCTCCCCGCCGTTTACCATAGCACCAGCGCGCTCACGCGAACTAATATAAGCATAGGCCTGTCGTAAATTCCTCCAGATAGCGCAACCACTCAACAAAAGCTCTGTTTGGCTATTATAAATCGTGACAAAGAAGCTACAGTAAGGCATCTACTCTTGCTATATTACCGAGCAGTCACAGCAACGAGCTAAAACGATCTTCCTCGACATTGTCCCGAATTTGTTATGCTATTTTCCTAATCAGTTTTTTTTGTTTCATTTCTTTTTTAGTAGCAAAGCGCTATATTCTGCTGATTTGGCTTCCAAGATAATTGCGTACATTTGTTTCTCCGTATTCTTCCCCAACACCCCGTCAGCAGATGGCGATTATTGTGTACCCCGTAGTAACGGACAGATCCACCAGAATCTTCAATATTGTCGCGCTATCAATATCTATCTTTGTGGGCGTCGTGCTCCTCATCTACCTCATTGTTTATTGCTGTCGCGTTCGCAAAGTGGAGGCAGTCGCCGTCGCCCCGCCTGCCGACGTCGAATCGCAAAAACCTCCTCCGCCGGAGCCAACCAACCCGGCAAAAGCGGCAGTAGCAGGCGATGCGGCGAAAGTACCTGCCTAGTTTTACGCAGACAAAGAGGCCGACTAAGGCGACACTGTACAGTACGGACGACTCCTTGTACGGATGTGGGTTGGGGAGAAAACAGTAGCGGGTCCACCAACATATATGTCACACACCGCAATCAGCACCTTTTGGCGATCCAGAAGTATATGATCCCGTGCCGAAAACGCGGTTCGCGGCATTCATGCTTCTCATGGGGGGGTATTATATATTAGTACTAATACGTGAATTTTGCCTAATGATTTTGAACTTTGACATGCACGTAAGATGGAGAAGGGAGCTAGTTCTTCCAAAGTATGTGGAGTATTACTTACAGCTCCATCCTGCATTTTCAAAACGACTTCATTCTTTCCAACCACTTCGTAATATAAATAAACTCCCCAGGCCTCAGCCAGAAACGGCTCATCAATAAATGATTTGCAGCATGGCTGTTTGTCCCTCCCTCCCTACTCCGGTTTGGGAGCCTTATTTTCAGTGGCCTCTGAAATTGGAGTCCTTCCTTTCATAAGATTTCTGCTTTTCCACCTTTTCCAGAGAATGACCTAGTATGTTAACCTCGAATAGCTTGCAGGTTAGAAGAGAATCTGCTCTTGCTCATGATTACCGTCACTTGGACAGCATGCAAACCTGGACAGCATGCAAACCTAAGAATCATTTTTTAATAGGGTGTAGAAAATCAAGATACTGTTTGCAACTTTTGGTTTCTGCCTTCCCGCTGTGTACACTGGCAGAAATAATTGTGACGAGAGATTCGCCGTCAAACACGGCAAGGCCAGGCCGAGCCGCCTCGGAGCTGTTGGTGCAGTTTTCGGCATGACAAATTGCACACGAAAATTTGCAGAGCGGTTACTGTTTTTTGTCACTTGAAGCCCCCCTTCGTTTGCCACCGACTAAGCCTCTTCGCTACAACTCGTTACACAGGCTAGAGTGAATTCGCCCATTCAGCGATACAAAACGTCAGCACAACCCAGTTCTGCAGCTAAGCCTGAACTGACTCTTCCATTTCCTCGTATTCTGTTTAGAAGAGACTAGCTCGTTTGAACCGGCATATGCTGAAGCTCTGCAGCGATCAACTTCTCCGTCGATAATCGACTTCTCCTTCGATATCTTCTCCGTATCCATCGCGGCGATAGATGAGCGTTCCACGATAGCAGACCTCGTCTCAGAAACCCTTTCCGCAAGCCCACAACCACTGGTTTCAGCTACAGAGATTACACTCACGGAGTATGTTTCGAACGGTAGCGACACAAGCGTCGTTCTGATGGTGAGCTTTTGTGATACATTCTCGTTAGTAAATCCTTTCTTTATATTTTTCTGGACCGCCACGATATGGGACACCCAATCTTGCAACCCTAGTTGCTATCCCACATCGTCGTCCTTTTCTGTTCCAAAAATGTTCGATCCTGTACTATGTACTTATAGGTTCTGCTACAAGCAATTTACTCTATAAAACTCCGTATCTACAATATAGCAGAACCTATAAGTACTTAGTACGGGGGGCACACAATTTCGGGAACGGTTCCCGGCAGAACCTATAAGTACTCCCGGCGGCCGGGACAGTCGCGAAAATGGTTCTCTCTCATGCTTCTTTTCGTGTTCGTCCCATTACCTCCCGCAGCGATGAGGACTTTCGCTCCTCCCCCAGAGGGAAATTTCAGCACTTTTCGCATCGCCGTGCTCTCAATCGTGCTCGTAATCATCGTCGCAGCCATCGTCTACTGGTGCTGTGTTAGCTGCGACTGCTGTCACCGTCGCACAGTAAAAGTCGTCGACGCCCCACCTGAGGTCGCCGAAAGACAGAAATCAAGCAAGCCAACAAAAGCGGCAGCAGAGACAAGAATCCCTGCCGTGTAGCTTCAGACAGGAAGCAGCTTACCAGTGAACGTCGAGATTACGCATCGCGGGTTTCTCCGGACATAACTACCTACTTATCACCGCTATAGTAAGTAACACGTCAGCAATGTACCTCTTCTTCGTCATTCCAGAACCAAGCTTGAACTCATTTGATCAGAGCCAATATTAGCTCAAATAGGCCGCAAACTTCCCCGTTTCTTTCGCAATTCACCAATCCACCAATCCACAACAGTTTGCGTCACGATTAACAGTGGAGGCCTATACGAAACTCCTCGAATCATGTTCCTCGCGCTGTCGCGCTGAAGCTGCTCCTCTTTATCCTCGACGACACCTCGTGGACGTGCATGCGCATGCGGCAACAGTCTATCCGCTTTCTCTGATTCCAGTGCTTTCCGTTTTCTCCCCTCTGTAGTGGAGGCCTACGAAATTCTTCGAGCCGTGCTTCTCGCGTTGTTCGCGCTGACGCTCCTCCTATTTATCATCGACACCACGTGGACCTGCATGCGCATGCGACAAGGGGCTGTAAGCGCCAGCGTGTCGGGCGTAGAGTCGCAGAAACAGCCACAACAGGCGAGTAACGCGGAGCATACAAACGAGGATGTACCAGCTCAAAGTAAAGCCGCACCATCTTAGAACCTATTACCTCGGTAGGGTCAAATAATTGGCGTTACACTCGCCCACTGTGTTTCATTTCAGTTATCCTTGTACCTGCAGTGGGTTTCCAAGATTAGGAACATGTGATAATCTAACGTGTTTGTTGGATGACAATATTGAGATTGAATGGAAGATTATGAATACATTGGCAGTACACTCAAGGAGCAGGCGTGCTGTGAGGGGATGTTCAGCCAACACAGTAGTTCGATGGAAGTAGGAGCAGCATGTCAGAATCCCAGTCACTAACCACTGGGATAAAAGGGCTTGTTTATATAGCGGGTGAGTGCGCCCATAACCCCCCAGGCCGACGTGCCTGTAACCCTTCCCTAGGATCATCGGGGATCCCCAGTGGACCTCTGACACCCCCCCGCACTGGGATGCCCGAAGTGCACACACCGGGAATCGAACCCGAGACCTTCGCTCTGATACCATGTCAGAATCCCAGCCACTAACCACTGGGATAAAAAGGCTTGTTTATATAGCGGGTGAGTGCGCCCATAACCCCCCAGGCCGACGTGCCTGTAACCCTTCCCTAGGATCATCGGGGATCCCCAGTGGACCTCTGACACAGCACCGTCAGTTCCAACTTCCAACCCATCACGGAGCCGCCTCACTACGACTGCTCGTCCACCTGCGTTCTCCCTGCTGGATGCTTAACTCATGGTACTAAGTATGTAAATGGACACAGTTGTGCACATGGAGATAAGAGCAGCACTGGCGATCCCAGTCAGGCACAGAGCCGATGCACAAGGCCAGCTGGGAGCCAGCTCGCTCAAGCTGCTCGTCCACTGGCGGTCCCAATCAGGAGAACCGACGCACAAGGAGAGCTGGAATCCAGCTTAGTCAAGCTGCTCGCCCGCCCCCCTTCTCGCTGCTGTGACTGCCTCGCCCACGCAATGTGTTTAAGAACGTATACAGTTGCTAGTATGGTAGTAAGAGCAGCACTGGCGGTCCCAGTCAGGAGGAGCGCCGACACACAAGGCGAGCTGGAAGCCAGCTTGTTCCAACTGCTCATCTATCTGCCTTCTCGCTGCTGTGGCTGCCTCACCCACGCAATGTGATTAAAAACGTATACAGTTGCTAGTATGGTAATAAGAGCAGCACTGGCGGTCCCAATCAGGAGGAGCGCCGACACACAAGGCGAGCTGGAAGCCAGCTTGTTCCAACTGCTCATCTATCTGCCTTCTCGCTGCTGTGGCTGCCTCACCCACGCAATGTGATTAAAAACGTATACAGTTGCTAGTATGGTAATAAGAGCAGCACTGGCGGTCCCAATCAGGAGGAGAGCCGACGCACAAGGCGAGCTGGAAGCCAGCTTGTTCCAACTGCTCATCTATCTGCCTTCTCGCTGCTGTGGCTGCCTCACCCACGGGGAACGACACGAGCAGCTGACACACAGAGAGCGGACGAGGTGCGAGCGGTGGTAGGCGGTGCTGTGGTAGTGGTGGTGGTGGTGGTGGTGGTGGTGGTGATGATGTTGGTGGTTGTGATGATGGTGGTGGTGGGTTCCCTGCAGGTGTATCGTGCATGGCTGTGGCCCAGGCTGCAATCACAGCCGGATCCAGATGCTCCACATCCACCTGTGGGCAAACAGGCAGTCATGGAAGCACAGAAGCATTTGAAAGGGCACGAGAGGGCAAGATGAAAATCTGTGGCATCGAGCGTGGCTGTTGCCCAGGCTGCAATGACAGCAGGGTCCACATGCTCTGCATCCACCTGTGGGCAAACAGGGACATGAGAGGGTGCATACAATACTTGTAACACATGAGATGGCATGGCAGCATGGCATGGCTGTGGCCCAGGCTGCAATCACAGCCGGGTCCAGATGCTCCACATCCACCTGTGGGCAAACAGGCAGTCATGGGGGGCACAGGCATATGAGAAAGCGTATCAGCATATCAGCCAGTCACCGGGGCACTGATACAGATGCATCGTATCATGCATGGTTGTAGCCTAGGTTGCAATGACAGCAGGGTTGAGATGCTCCACATCCACCCGAAGGGAAGAGCCAGTCATGGGGTCATGCAGGCGTGTGGAAGGGATATTAGGGGGCAAGATGAACATCTGTGGCACCTCATGGCTATAGCACCGCGTGGGAGTAGCCTAGGTTGCAATGAGAGCAGGGTTGAGATGCTCCACATCCACCTGTGGGGGGTAAGCGCCAGGCACACAGACGCATGAGAGTATGTATGACAGTAGCGCACGCGCGCACACGCACACATGCACACGCGCACGCACAGGCGCGCGCATGCAGACACACAGGCACAGGCAGAGACGTAGACGCACAGGCAGAGACGTAGATGCACAGGCAGAGACGTAGATGCACAGGCAGAGACGTAGATGCACAGGCAGAGACGTAGATGCACAGACAGCAGCTCACATGAAGCACTGCGCACACACCTTGATCACATCCGCACGCCACAAAGCAACAATGCATGCATTCACATTGGGAACGCCACTCCCATCTCCCATACATGCACACGCACACACATACACACAGCAGCAGAACACAGCAGCGCACATGAAAGCACCACGCACACACCACGCATGTACGCACATTGATCACATCCACACACCTCATAAACGCGTTATGAGATGTCAGAACATGCACGCACATAGAAACGCACATAGCAACGCACATAGCAACGCACATAGCAACGCACATAGCAACGCACATAGCAACGCACATAGCAACGCACATAGCAACGCACATAGCAACGCACATAGCAACGCACATAGCAACGCACATAGCAACGTGCATAGCAACGCACATAGCAACGCACATAGCAACGCACATAGCAACGCACATAGCAACGCACATAGCAACGCACATCGCAACGCACATAGCAACGCACATAGCAACGCACATAACAACGCACATAGCAACGTGCATAGCAACGCACATAGCAACGCACATAGCAACGTGCATAGCAACGCACATAGCAACGCACATAGCAACGCACATAGCAACGCACATAGCAACGCACATAGCAACGCACATAACAACGCACATAGCAACGTGCATAGCAACGCACATAGCAACGCACATAGCAACGCACATAGCAACGTGCATAGCAACGCACATAGCAACGCACATAGCAACGCACATAGCAACGCACATAGCAACGCGCATAGCAACACGCATAGCAGCCCATCCCTAACCTCTTGCTCGTATTTATCCCACTCCTCCTCCCCCCCTGCCGAACACCATCCCCACCCCCAAGGCATTTCTTAGGCGCCTCAAGACACGCACCTTGATCACACCCACATGCCGCAGCAGCCCATCCTCAACCCCCACCTCACGCTCCCTCTCCACGGCCACCAACCCTGCTGTCAGCATCTCCTACATGCTGCACCACACACGCACGCACCTTGATCACATCCACACGCCACAGCAGCCCATCCTCAACCTCTTCCTCGTTAAGTTCCTCCTGCTCATCTTTATGCTCCTGCTTCTCCTCCCTCTCCGCCTCCCCACGTTCAACACCATCCTCACCCTCATCCTCCTCACTCCCCTTCTCCCCCTCCCCACCACCCGTGCTGTCGGCTTGCAGCCATCGCTGCAGCCAGGACGGAGGGCGATGGAGGATGGAGATGGAGGGGAAGAGGGAGAGAAGGTCCGCCTCCCAGCTGCCCGGAGTCTCTGCTGCCTTTTGCCCGTCGAATTCAGAAATATCAAAAGGGGAGGGGCTCTTTGCTGCTATCTGCCTGCCCTCGCCCTCGCTTTGGACAAGCAAGAAAGGGGATGCTTTGAACGAGTTTGCATTGCTTCTTGGGGCCTTTTGAGTCAGAGTCACCCCACTCTGGAGCGGCAGAACTGGTAACTCTACAGACTGGTTTCCCGTGCTGCTGGGGTTGCTACCGTCAGCGGCAGCAAAGTCACCACCACGACCGTTGATTATCCCAGGTAGATCATCACCATCACCGTCGATTTCATGCCTCCTGCCCTCCTCCTCTCCCTCACTCCCTTTCTCTTTTAGCAAACGCCTTCTACCCCACCTCTTTCTGCTGCCACTTCTGCTCCTCCCCCCTCTCTCTCGCCCTCTCCCACTCCCTTTCCCCCCTTCTCTCCTTCTAAGGCTGCTGTTTGATTTGCCACGCACACTGTTGCTTCTCCTCCTCCTGCCCTTGTTCCTCCTATCCCTGCTCCTCCTGCTGCTTACCCACCACTTGCCACTACTGCTATCCCTGTAACTCTTGCTACTGCTGCTATCGCTCCTGCTGCTTGTGCTGTTACTTCTTCTGCTGCTGCTGCTGCTGCTGCCGCTACCCCTGCTACTGCTGTTGATTTTTCTTCTGCCGCTGGAGCTGCTACTACTGCTGCTTCTGCTACTGATGCTGTTCCTGCTACTGCTGTAGATTCTTCGTCTGGTGCCGATACTGTTGCTTGTCCCACTGGCGCTGCTGGTGCCGCCGCTGCTGCTGCTGTTACCACTTCTTTTTTTGCTGGCACTGCTGCTTCTGCTGCTCGTTTCGCTGTCGCCAAATCTCTGATGCGCCTGCATTGGTGTGCTGCTTGTCCCTTCTCTGCCGCTTGCGGTCACCGTGACGTTGGTGTTGGTAACCGCGTCCCACTCCAGGCGAGAGGAGACGGAGACCACAACACTGTCCAAACATCAAGCGGGAGAGACACGCGGCGGAAGAGGGCATACGCAGGGAGCTTTTGGAACTTCCATTTTCCAGATACCTATCGCTGTGGCGTTGGCGTTGGTGACCGTGTTGCATTCAGGGCGAGAGGAGATGGAGACCACAACACTGTTCAACAGGCACAAGAGATACATCCTACGTGTTTCACGTCATATAACATACTTTTATGGCGCCTCAAAATGCCACAAAGGATAGATCATGCATGCCAGCACACCTGACAAAACACCTGAGCTACCCACCTGAAAAAACACCTGAGCCAGCACACCTGGAGGAAGAGAGCAGGCGCGTAAAAGTGGCGAATTGTCGTGGGGTGGTCCCCAGAAGCTTCGCCTCCCCCATCTGCCCCCGCACACAGAGAGCCAAGGGGGAAGGCGCGGACCACACAGAGGAGAGGGCGCGGAGCTGGGGGGAGGAAAGTTGGGGGGAGAAGGACAGGGGGAAGGGGAGGGGGAGAGGGACGAGGAGTGGGAGGGGAAACTATAAACTGCGCTGTTGTACTGCATGTTACACTCAATGAAGGAGCATTCGAGGGGAAACTGGGTGGCAAGCCAAGCTCCTCACAGACAGAGCCAAGGGGAAGGGTGTGGACCACACAGAGGAAAGGGCACGGAGCTGGGAGGATGGGGTGGAGTGGAGGAGGGGGTTGGCAAGGAAAGGGGGAAAGAGGAACAAGGAGGAAATATGCAGCAATCAAAAGCCCTTCACGCAAAGCCAAGGGGGAGGGCGCGGACCAAACAGAGGAGAGGGCGCGGAGCTGGGGGGAGAAATGCGGGAGAGGAGGAAAAGGGGGACGGAGAGGGGACAGCTGGGGGAGTCGCGTTACAGGGCAGTGAGTGGTTGCAGCCTTTCTACTTTCTTCTTCGTTTTCTTTCTTCTGTGCATTGTTTGCAACACAATAAGCTGTTTCAGCACAGCACAGCACCCCTTCTCTCCTACCCGTTCGAAGGATCGCACGCAGAGCGCCACGTCAGCAGCCATGCGGCCGACAGCTTGGCGCTGCCGTGCCAGCTCAGCACCCATGACATCATCATATTGCTGCTGCCACGTGTCCTCCCACGGTTGGTGGATGGAGCAAATGTCAATGCCCTGAGTGAACGGGCTCGGCCAGTTGGGAGCCGTGTCGGGAATGGCAGCTAGCGCCTGCTCAGCCTGCAAAGTGGGGGATGGGGTTGACGGGATGGAAGTTGGTAAGATAGGAGAATGATGATGAAAACGAAGATGAAAACGAAGATGAAAGAAATGATCAATCCCCTGAGTGAACGGGCCCTGCCAGTTGGGAGCCGTGTCGGGAATGGCAGCTAGCGCCTGTTCCGCCTGACAGGTGGGGGAATGAGGTGCAGTAGGGAGGTTGGGGGGAGGCGGTTGGGAGAATGGAGGCTGGCGGGTGAAGAGTGGTTGGGGAAAAGTAGTTGGGAGCACATGTCTATCCCTTGAGTGAACGGGCCGGGCCAGTTGGGAGCCGTGTCGGGAATGGCAGCTAGCGCCTGTTCCGCCTGGCAGGTGGGGGAATGAGGTGCAGTAGGGAGGTTGGGGGGAGGCGGTTGGGAGAATGGAGGCTGGCGGGTGAAGAGTGGTTGGGGAAAAGTAGTTGGGAGCACATGTCTATCCCTTGAGTGAACGGGCCGGGCCAGTTGGGAGCCGTGTCGGGAATGGCAGCTAACACCTGTTCCGCCTGGCAGGTAAGCGGATGGAGGTTAGAAGGATGAAGAATGGGTGGGGAAAGGGAGATGAGAGCAGATGTCCTGTGTGAACGGGGCCGGCCAGTTGGGAGCTTCTACACATCGGGAAGCGCTATTGGGAATAGAGGGCGCTGCATGGAATGACATTGCATGTCATTCCATGCAGCTAACGCTTCTTCGGCCTGCCAGTTGGGGGATAGAGGTTGCAGTAGGGAGATTGGACGGATGGAGGCTGGGTGGACGGAGGTCGGGTAGATGGAGGTCAAGGAATGGAGAGTGGGCGGGGAAAAGAGGAAAGCAGCAGATGTCTAGACGCCGTGTCATCCTGAGTCACCTCCTTCCCAGCCTTGTAGGGCGAGGCGAGCACAGGCGCCAGTTGGTGCTGTTCAGAGGCACGTTGCACAGGCGCCACTTGGTGCTGTTCAGAGGCACGTTGCACAGGCGCCACTTGGTGCTGTTCAGAGGCACGTTGCACAGGCGCCACTTGGTGCTGTTCAGAGGCACGTTGCACAGGCGCCACTTGGTGCTGTTCAGAGGCACGTTGCACAGGCGCCACTTGGTGCTGTTCAGAGGCACGTTGCACAGGCGCCACTTGGTGCTGTTCAGAGGCACGTTGCACAGGCGCCACTTGGTGCTGTTCAGAGGCACGTTGCACAGGCGCCACTTGGTGCTGTTCAGAGGCACGTTGCACAGGCGCCACTTGGTGCTGTTCAGAGGCACGTTGCACAGGCGCCACTTGGTGCTGTTCAGAGGCACGTTGCACAGGCGCCACTTGGTGCTGTTCAGAGGCACGTTGCACAGGCGCCACTTGGTGCTGTTCAGAGGCACGTTGCACAGGCGCCACTTGGTGCTGTTCAGAGGCACGTTGCACAGGCGCCACTTGGTGCTGTTCAGAGGCACGTTGCACAGGCGCCACTTGGTGCTGTTCAGAGGCACGCTGCCAGCAACACATGCAAACACGCTTTTAAACCAACCCTTCCGCCCGCCCCCACCTCCTTCCGCCTCTGTTCACCTTCCTGTCCTTGTTCACCTCCTCCCCAGCCTTGCATGGGGTGCACAGGTGGCACTTGGCACCATTCAGAGGCACCTTGGCAGCAACACATGTAAGAACGCGTTTAGACCCCCCCCCCCCCCACCTCCTTCCGCCCCTATTCCCCTTCCCGCCCTCACTTACCTCCTCTCCTGCCTTGCACGGCGCGCACAGCTGGCACTAGGTGCCGGTCAGAGGCACCTTGGCAGCAATACGTGTAATATCACACTCAACCCCCCCCAACCCAACTGCACCCCGCCGCTCCCATGCCCCATCTCCCCCTCACCTCCTCCCCTGCCTTGCAGGGAGTGCATAGGAGGCACTTGGCGCCATTCAGAGGCGCCCTGACAGAGTTGACTTTTGAGTTGACTCAAAAGTCAACAGGGAGTGCATAGGAGGCACTTGGCGCCACGCCATTCAGAGACGTCCTGGCAGGCAGCAACACAAGCATTCAAACACAGCCCACATTTCTCCCCGTCCCTACCCGCCCCATCCCCCCTTTCCCTCCTCACCTCCTCACCGGCCTTGCAGGGCGTGCACAGGCGGCACTTGGCCCTACCATTCCCTTTCCCTCTTACCTCCTCTCCTGCCTTGCACAGAGTGCAAAAGCGGCACGTTGGCGCCATTCAGAGGCACCTTGGCAGCAACACAAGCAACCACGCATTAGTCACAGCCCCACATGACCACAACTCTCCCCATGTTTTCCCCTGTTTCCCCAAATCAATCGGCCTCACCTCCTCTCCTGCCTTGCACGGCGTGCAAAACCGGCACTTGGCGCCATTCAGAGGCACCTTGGCAGCAGCGCTGAGGATCTTAACGGGACACGAGTCGTCCTCTAAGGGGTACAGGCGGCGAGTGAGGATGCAGAAGGAGAGGTTCTGTCGCTCCACTCTCACCCCCCCCATGTCCATCTGTGCTTTAAATGCCATCTCTGAGTTAAGCTGGCTGGGGGGAGGGGGCGGCATAACAGGGCAGGAGGAGGAAAAGGGAAGGAGATGAAACGAGTGGGAAAGGGCGAGTGAGGATGGAGAACGAGAGGTTCTGTCGCTGCACTCGCACTCCCCGAATGTCCATTTGCGCTTTGAAAGCCATCTCTGAGTTGAGCTGGCTGGGGGGAGAGGGGAGGGAGGGGTGGAGGGGGGTGAGGAGGGAGAACAAAACAAGAGGGGGAGGGCAAATGGGATGCAGAAGGAGAGGTTCTGGCGCTGCACTCTCACTCCCCGCATGTCCATCTGGGCTTTAAATGCCATCTCTGAGTTGAGCTGGCTGGGGGCAGGCGGAGGGAGGAGGGGGCAAGGAGGAGGAAATGGGAAGGAGACGAAACGAGTGGGAAAGGGCGAGCCAGTTGAACGCACCTGGCTGCACCCACACCCACCTTGGCACCACCCACTCGAACTACCACCGAAAGTACCACCTGAGACCGACCATCTACACCGACCTCACCTCACCTGTATCCCACGGCCACCATCTTATCCAGCGCACTCAGCCGCCTCAACGCTGCTGCACCCACACCCACCTTGGCACCACACCACCAACCACTCAAACTACCACTGGAAGTACCACCGGTGATCAATCATCCACACCAACAACACCTCACCTGTACCCAACGGCCACCATCTTATCCAGCGCACTCAGCCACCCCAACGCTGCTGCACCCACCATAGCACCATTCGCTCACAGCATCACCAAAAGCACCACCACCTCCCTTCCCGCTCACCTGTATCCAACTGCCACCATCCCATCCAGAGCACTCAGCCGTCGCAGCGCTGCCACACCCATCATGGCATCGTTCAACACGCAGTATCAGCACAAGAACTGCCACTGCTATACATACAGCACCAGCCATACCACCATAGTCCCCTCTCACCTGTATCCCACAGCCACCATCTTATCCGGCGCACTTAGCCGCTGCAACGCTGCTGCAGGGTGCCCACACACAGTATCGACTGAATCACCACCATTTACACAGCACCATCCACGCCACTGCAGCCTCTCACCTGTATCCCACGGCCACCATCTTATCCAGCGCACTCAGCCGCTTCAACGCCACGCCACTCGCGTGCCTGCCTCCCATCCATCCCCACACCATACGCCATGCAGCAACAGAAGCACACCCAGAGCCATCCACACCTCCACTCCACCCTCCCCGCTCACCTGTACCCATCTTATCCCGCGCACTCAGCCACTTCAACGCTGCCGCACCCACCATGGCATCCTTTAACACACAGTATCACCTTCATTGCCACCGCTATGCAGCATCACCATCCCCTCTCACTCTCACCCGTACCCAACAGCCACCATCTTATTCAGAGCACTCAGCCGCTTCAACACTGCCTCGCTCGCCTGCCAGCCATCCATCCCCACACCACACGCCATGCAGCAACAGCAGCACACCCAGAGCCATCCACGCCACTGCAGCCGCTCACCTGTATCCCACGGCCACCATCTTATCCAGCGCACTCAGCCGCTTCAACGCCACGCCACTCGCGTGCCTGCCTCCCATCCCAAACCGGTCGTTGAAACCCCACCAGTCCGACCCATACGGAATCGTGTATTCCACCCCACCCGCACCATCTATGTCCCCGGCAGCTACTGCCGTGGCTTCTGCTGCTAGTGCCGCTTCTTCTGCTGCTGTTGGTGCAGGAGTGAGAAGGCCGAGTGGCATGGGCGGTGGGGCAGGCGGCGGGGGTTGGATGGGGGCGGGGGCGGTCCAGAGGGAGTCGAGGCGGGTTCGCACGATCCAGTTGTAGCGCAGGGGCGGTGCTGACGTGGCTTCAAACGATTGGATCATGTCCCAGCACCCCTCGACCAGGCGAAAGTACTGTAGCAGACCCTGCGGGGTGGAGGTGAAAGAGTGATGGAAGGCGAGAGAGTAGGGGGAGAGAGGAGATCGGACAGAAAAAGGAGGGCTATGAGTGAGTGAGTGACACATGGGTGGGATGAACTGGAGGGCGAGAAAGGACGAGTAAGATAGAAGGCCAGGCGAAAGCAACAAGGTGAAATCATTGAGGGGGTTGCTTGCAAGGAGAGGAGAGAGGGAAAGAGAAGAGGGTGTGAGAAAGCGAGTGCGAGGAAAAAACGGGCCTAACAGGAGGAAAAAGGGGAGCCCTGTGGAGAGACCTTTCTTAGGGCGCCTCAGAACAAGCTCTTGCCTTGACATGCCCTCTAAAGAGAGGGCTCTAGAAGTTTAAGAAGATCTCCTTACATGCAAGGCTTGAGGTGACGGCTCCCGGGCCACTTAGGCAGCATCAGAGGTCTTTTTTTTTTTTCGGGGGGGGGGGGGGGGTGGGGGGGAAGCGGGATTCGAGAATTCCCAAACGACCTACAAAAAATGGGGCGCCTCACACAAACAGAAACAAAAACAGAAGGAATGCGCTTCTCTTCCTTAGGATGAAATTCTCTTCCTCCGCACTTGCAAGCCTTGAGGCAGCGACTCCCAGTTCAGCGCCCTCCGCCCAAACTAAGACCCGTTTAAATCACTGCCGCGGAAGATCTTTCCTCACACTCGATATAGTCACACCCTTCTCTTCCTCCTCCTCCTCCTCCTCACCTGCAACCCCTGAGGCGAGGACTGCCAGTTGAGTGCCAACCTCCGGTTGTCTGTCTCGTCCAAATCACTGCTCGGGAAAATTCTCACACTCGCTATAGTCACCCCCTTCCCTCTAAGCTGCCCTCCCCCCTCGATTCCCCCGAATAAGCCGAGTTCGGCAGTGGTTTCGTCCAGAGGCGCGTGCAGGAAGAGGTGTAAGGGGCGGTGCGGGGGGTGGGAGGGATCGGAGGAGTGGGAGGAGGGAGAGGGGTGCGCGGAGGGCAGCAGCAGGTGGCGCAGCAGCGAGGGCCCCGTTGCCTCAAAGGCCCGCGCCGACCCCACCAGACACACTGCCATGGGCGGCTGGGGGGGGGAAGGGGGCAGGAAAGAGGGGACAGAGGGGAGGGGACAGGAGGGACGGGGGAGGGACGGGAGAGCAGTGGGACTGGTAGGCTGGTAGCAGATCACTGGCGTAATGTAAACGGGTATTTCCTGGAAACAAGCACCAGTGTCTCATCTCACCGCACGCTCCTTAATCTACTGTGAGTTGTCCCAGTTCGTTGAGTTGAAGCCTGACAATGAGATAAGCAGCGGCACGAGCGGCTGTATGAGCCGCCAAAAAAAAAGTATTCACCTCCAAAGTGTCCTGATTCGTTGCATTCAAGGCCGAGAAGGAAACAAGCAGCGGCACCAGCGCCGCTGTGCAGGCTGCTAGCAGGCACACGGAGCGCAATCCCGAGCGCGGCTGCAGGCAATGGGAACCGCCAGCGGCGCGATCACGCGACTTGGGAGGGCGAAACGGGGAGGGAGCCATGATTTGAGGCGACAATTCAGAGGAATTTCGCTCCGCCTCAAAGGTCTCCCTGTGAATCTGTCACCCCGTTTCGTCAAAATTCAGACTTAACTTTGCAAGCGGATTTCGTTCCGCCTCATAAGTCTCCCTGTGAGGCTTGAACTTTGAGTGTACTCAAAAGGGGGTGACGAAGCGCGTAGTCGAGGCTCAATATTGACTCCGTAATCAGGGCGAGGCGTAAGCCCAGGTGTGACGAGGGTGTGGAGTCGACTCAAAAATTAGGGTTTGCTGGCACAATCCAATATCTGACGCGAATTTCTAGGGGTTGAAACGAAACACCCCTGAGCGAATGGCTTGCTCACGGTCCTGGCGAAAAGAAACAATTGACGGCCAGTCAAAACTGTGGATCCAGACTCGCGTTTCGAACGTTCAAGCCGACTTCTGACACGAGCGCGGTGACTCGAAAATTCGCGCACGGGGCGCACGGGAGAGGATCCATAGAAAACCGACCAGGACTAGCTTACAACCGACCAGGGCTAGCTTCACGACTAGCTATTGATCCGTTCTGTAGATTTATTCTATGCGAACCTGTCGATATTACCGAGGCACCGACCAGGATTATTTTTTGAATGCGCTGCCCCATGACAATCAAGCCGATGGCAATGACGAACAACTGCTGCGAACAATTGAGTTACAGGTTACATTGTCCGTGTTACGGTTCATTGATCGCATCGCTTTCGCCCTGGCATTGGCATTGCCGGCTGGCAGACATCGAGCCAGACCTGGCGGGAAACCAATGTAAACTGCCACTGGAAATGAAAAACTGGCATGGCACTCGTTGTCAGACCAGCGAAGGTCCACCTCGGACCAATCAGGGTTGCATGATGTCAGAGCCGAACCAATCGAACTCATGCGTGCAATTTCAGAAGGGGACGTCAAGTAATCACCCAGGCCCTGTTCTGTTGGCGCATTTGGGGTGCTGAGCCCTCACGAAGAATATTCTAGGAACCCACTTGACTAGGCTTAAAGCCAAACCCTAGCCTCGCAACTCGCTAGAGTGTCCCGAACCTGAGAGCATAAGCTGTGCGCCAACGCGTAATAGAACGTAAAACAGCTTGTGCGCCCAGAAGTTACTACGAAGCCTGCCTCTCGGGCAAAATGGTCAAACAGCTGGTGCGAACCCTATGCGCCCATCTCCTAGGAATAAGGGGGCGCATAAACAATAACGGGCAGTGATCATCGCCTGTTCTCGGGACATATCGGAGAGGTTTTACTCGAAAACAAATTGAACATGACGAGAGGCGAGGATAAACCACACGGCCGAAAGTTTGTGAGTGGCTGAGATACAAATTTGTTGAGCATCCTGGGTAGCCTTGGCGAGTGGGTTAAAAAAAAAAGGTCTGCTTTGTCTGTAGCGCCAAACTTCGCAGAGGCCGCGGGGTGGTTCTCTCGTTCGAGGAAAACACGTTCCGCAGTGCTTGTGCGGGAGGCCCGATTTGGTTGTGTGCCAACAGAACAGGGCGCCAATCTAATCGTAGGAAATGTCGTCGAAACCCAGCTTGCCAGTTGCGACGCGGCGTTCGCCATAACCGCAAGCGGCCGGCGCTGCTCCCTAGGTGAAAATGAACAGCTGATAAGTTGAAAACTGGACTTCACGGTGTAAGCTGTAACACAGCTGTCGTCAAGCCGATCGGCACTCGTCGTCAGACCAATGAATGTCCCTCTTCGGACCAATCAAGGTTACGCTCTGTCAGCACCGGACCAATCGAAACCATGCAGAGATTGCGGAAGGGTACGTCAAGTAATCACCCAATCCAATCGTAGAGAGTGTCGTCGAACGAAACGGAGATTTATGCCCGTGGACGGTGCTAATCCCCAGGTGCATCTGATGATCTGCACTCTGGCACGGTCTTGATCGACCAGACGAACGAACCAGCAGACTACTAGTGCGGAGCAGATCAGTTATCAGGATGCGGAATCGGTGGGTCTATTTGTTTTCTTAGGCTGTGATTCCTAGCTGCTGTGCGGCCTGGCCCGTTCCGCGTAGAATTCGAGGGCGTTATTATCGTCTGCCATCGCTTGAGCCGCGACTTCGGGAACGGGAAATTAGATCGTCTGTTAGGGCCGCCGGAATCTTGACAGTGAGAGGACCAGCCCTAGAATCTGTCTCGCTTCTTTGACAGAGAGATTCCTGCGACGAATCGCCTTACGGACGAATCGCCTTACCGGCGAATCGCCTTACTGACGAATCGCCTAACTGATCGCTGGACCACGTTCGCAGAGGCTGTTGGTCGTTCTCGTTGTGACTGAAACGAGTAGCCGCGTCTGAAGTCACACCAAGCGAGTCGCGTCTGTCAGAATTTCCCCGTTAGCTCCCTCACCTCCTTTCAATTGGTCTACTGCGAATTAACTCACTCCTCTCCCGCCACCATAGGCTACTTCTGGACGGCGCTTCGCCTGGCCCGGGCGGTCTTTATTCGCCCGAAGGCGGGACAAGCAGGTGGCGGCTCGATGGTGCTTCTAAGAGCCAAGACTTTCGTTATAGTGTTCGCCGTGCTGACGGCCGCGTTCTTGGCGGCGCACTGGCCGCTCAGACGCTCGTGGCGCGACAACCTCGTGGCGCCTGATGGAGGAGATGATGGTGTGAGTGACGGAGTGAGGGGGTGACGGTGAGGGAGTGGGAGGGCCTGAGTGATGAACGAGAGGGTGAGTGAGTGAGTGAGTTAATTGTCTCAAATTCAGTCAGCTCAAGTTAGAGTTCTCAAACTCAGTCAGCTCAAGTTAAGAATTCTCAAATTCAGTCGAGTTCTCAGATTCAGTCAGCTCAAGTTAGATTCTCAAATTCAGTCAGCTCAAGTTAGAGTTCTCAGATTCAGTCAGCTCAAGTTAGAGTTCTCAAATTCAGTCAGCTCAAGTTAGAGTTCTCAAATTCAGTCAGCTCAAGTTTGAGTTCTCAAAGTCAGTCAGCTCAAGTTAGAGTTCTCAAATTCAGTCAGCTCAAGTTAGAGTTTTTAAATTCAGTCAGCTCAAGTTAGAGTTCTCAAATTCAGTCAGCTCGAGTTTGAGTTCTCAAAGTCAGTCAGCTCAAGTTAGAGTTCTCAAAGTCAGTCAGCTCAAGTTAGAGTTCTCAAATTCAGTCAGCTCAAGTTAGAGTTTTTAAATTCAGTCAGCTCAAGTTAGAGTTCTCAAATTCAGTCAGCTCAAGTTAGAGTTTTTAAATTCAGTCAGCTAAAAGCTATGAGTTTGAAAATTAAGTCACCTTAAAGTCAGCCTCAGATTCAGTTGCCTCAAGTCCAGGCATCCCAAGATGTCACAAAGCTCATCTGTTGCGGCGGCTCTGTCAACTTTTTTTATCGCCCCCCTTCCGTGTCTCCCACTGCTTTATTTCCTTCCCTGATCTGCCCCCACCCGCAACCCCTTGCCCCCATCGCAGTGTGTCTGGTGGGGTCGGCGCGGGCCTTTGAAGCAACTCAATCAACTCTTTCACTTACCCCCTTTCTGTCTCTCCATCTGCTTTCTCTCCCTCCGCCCGCCCAGCCTCCACCCCTCTCGCCCATAGCAGTGTGTCTGGTGGGGTCAGCGCGGGCCTTTGAGGCAACTCAATCAACTCTTTCACTTCCCCAATTTCTGTCTCTCCATCTGCTTTCTCTCCCTGTGGCCGCCCAGCCCCCACCCCTCTCGCCCATAGCAGTGTGTATGGTGGGGTCAGCACGGGCCTCTGAGGCAACTCAATCAACGCTTTCACTTCCCGCCTTTGTGTCTTTCTGTCTCTCCATCTGCTTTCCCTCCCTGCGCCCGCCCAGCTCTCACCCCTCTCCCCCATGGCAGTGTGTCTGGTGGGGTCGGCGCGGGCCTTTGAGGCAACGGGGCCCTCGCTGCTGCGCCACCTGCTGCTGCCCTCCGCGCACCCCTCTTCCTCCTCCCATCGCCCCTTACACCTCTTCCTGCATGCGCCTCTAGACGAAACGGCTGCCAAACTCAGCTTCCTCCGAAGCTTCGCCAGCAGTGCCAGCAGCAGTACCAGCGGCAGCGGCAGCAGCGGTGGCAGCAGCAGCGGCAGCAGCAGCAGCAGCAGCAGCAGCGGTGGCAGCAGCACTATCAGCAGCAGCAGCGGCGGCGGCGGCATTACCGGCAGAGTGCTCAGATTACAACGGGAGGCGGGGAGCAATGACGTGGCGGCTCGGGATTGGCCGCGTCTGGCGCGGGAAAACGCCATAGCAGCTGTGCGGATCTTCCCGAACAGTGACGTGGATGAGACAAAATACCCCACCGGGGTCATGTTCACTGGAGATTCCCCCAGCGGCTTGCAGGGTCTGCTACAGTACTTTCGCCTGGTGGAGGGGTGCTGGAACATGATCCAGTCGTTTGAAGCCACGTCAGCACAAGCCACGTCAGCACCGCTCTTGCGCTACAACTGGATAGTGCGAGCCCGCCTCGACTCCCTCTGGACCGCCCCCGCCCCCATCCAACCCCCGCCGCCCATGCTGCCGCCCAGTGATCTTCATGAAGTCGCCTCCACCGCTACCGTAGCAGCAGCAGATTCAGCTGGGAATGCTGTTCGTGGTGGTGGTGAGATGATTGGCAGCAATGGGGTGGTTGATGATTTGGCCTACACGATTCCGTATGGTTCGGACTGGTGGGGGCTGAACGACCGGTTTGGGATGGGAGGCAGGCGGGCGAGTGAGGCAGCGTTGAAGCGGCTGAGTGTGCTGCAGCTGCTGGCAAGGCGGAAGATGAGGTGAGTGAATGGGTGTGAATCGGTGTGAATGGGTGTGAATGGGTGTGAATGGGTGTGAATGGGTGTGCATGGCTGTGAGTGGGTGCGAATGGGCTGACTTCCCACTGTCCTCTCCCCCTCCCAGGGACCTCAACTCAGAGCGAGCCTTGCCCAGCTATCTCTGCGGGGCATCACAGTGCAGCGAGCCAACCTGCGCTTCTGTGTGCTCTCCCGCCCTCTTGCCATGTTTTCTGAGTCGACTCAATACACGACTCATTTTGAGTCGACTCAAAAAACGAGGCATCACAGTGCAACGGGCCAACCTGCGCTTCTGTGTGCCCACCCGCCCTCTTGCCATGCCTCACACCTCCCTCTGACCTCTCCTCCCTCCCACCCTCACCCTCCCCCTTACAGAGACCTCAACTCAGAGCGAGCTTTTGAAGCCCAGCTAGTCCTGGGGGGCATCACAGTACAACGAGCCAGCCTGCCCTTCTGTGTGCTCTTCCAACGCACCTACCCTGACGGCTGTGCCCCCGCTGCCTACTCCCCTGCCCCACTCTCCCCCCTCTTACTCTGTGAACCTCCCCCCCACCCTTTCAGAGACCTCAACTCAGAGCGAGCCTTCAAAGCGCAGCTATCCATGGCGGGAATCACGGTGCAACGAGCCAGCCTGCCCTTCTGTGTGCTCTCCCAACGCACCTACCCCGACGGCTGTGCCCCCGTCGTTTACTCCTGTCCTGTGCCTCGGTCTCTCCCCTCTTACTTCATCAAACCCCCCCACCGCCATCCCAGGGACCTCAACTCAGAGCGAGCCTTCAAGGCCCAGCTATCCCTGGCGGGCATCACGGTGCAACGAGCCAGCCTGCCTTTCTGTGTGCTCTCCCAACGCACCTACCGCGACGGCTGTGCCCCTATCGTCTACTCCATCAACTCCTCCGTGCCGCTAAATGGTGCCAAATGCCGCCCCTGCAGCCACCCGTGTGCAGCTGGCGAACAGGTAAGTCAAAGAGGGGGGATCAGGTGACCCTTGCGGGATCAAGTTTTTGAGGCGCCTCAAAAGTCGTCCCATGTGCTGCCGGCAAAAATGTAATCATGGAGCGGACGGGTGGCCCTTGCCCCTATATGGCGCCCGTGCGGCCGCCCGTGTGTTACAGGCAGCAAGGTGATTCGGAAGCGGGGACTGCGTGACCTTTGCTCTGTGAACCCTCTGTATCCTCCATCACCTCTTTTGAGACGTCTCAAAACTCCATCACCTCTTGTGTTCCTTTTCCCCCCCATCCTTTCCTTCCTCAACCCTTCCCTTCCTTTCTTTTTCTTTTTTCTTTTCATTCTTCTTCTTTTGAGAATTCTCAAGAGTGGTCCTAATCCATCTCTTTCAATTTCTCCTCACGGCTTTGTCCTTGCAACTCTCCCCCTCCCCTTCTTTCCCCACGCGCGAACCCTCCCCGCCTAAATCACCCCATCAGCCCCCAAATGGTCGGGCACAGCAGCAGCGGGGGGCGAGGTGGGGGTGTGTGATGCACTCCCCTTCATCTCCTCATCCCTTTCCCCTCACATATCCGTCCTACCGACTCTTCACGTCCCTTTTCCCCTTCAGGCCCGAGCTCTCCTCTCCCACATCGCAACTGGCCGGGGCCAGCAGCAGCGGAGGGGGAGGTGGGGGTGTGTGACCCACTCATCCTCCTTTTGTTCGCCGCCCTTCTCTTTCCCTACAGGCACGAGCTCTCCTCTCCCATATTGCCCCATCAGCCCCCAACTGGCTGGGGCCAGCAGCAGTGGAGGGCGAGGTGGGAGTGTGTGACTTTCCTTATCTGCCTCTCCTTCCCTCCTTCCCTCCTCCCTTCCCCAGGCACGAGCTCTCCTCTCCCATATTGCCCCAACAGCCCCCAATTGGCCGGGGCCAGAAGCATCGAAGGGCGAGGTGGGGGTGTGTGATGCGGCGAGGGGGTGGGAGAAGGGGTGGGACGGGGAGTTTGATGCGGTTATGGGGGTGGAATTGGCGGAGGGGCGGAGGCAGGTGGTGCGGGAGGCGATGGGGAGCATTGACGAGTGTGTGAAGGCGTGGGAAGAGGTGAGAATGGGGGAGGCGATGGGGAGCATTGAAGAGTGTGAGCAGGCATGGGATGAGGTAAGAGTGAGAGGGGATAGGAGTGGGAGGAGATGAGAGTGAGAGGAGGTGAGAATGATAGGAGGTGAGGGTGGGAGGAGGATTGAACTGAAGAAATGAGGCAATTGATGATTGTGGGAGGTGAGAGTGGGAGGTGAGCCCCGAGCTTCCCTCCTCCCTCTCCATCCCCTCTTTCTACTCCTCCTTTTCAAGTTCCGTGCCCTCACCATCTCCTGGGATGCGCCATCACCCCGAGGAGTGTGCGTGCGAGCTCGTGTCTGCTTCTCACTTCCCCTCCCATCTCTCCTTGCTCCCTCCATCCCAGTTCCGTGCCCTCACCATCTCCTGGGATGCGCCATCAACCCAAGCAGTCTGCGTGCGAGTGTCGTGTGTCTCACACTAAGTCCACATTACTCTGTTGTGTCTCCCCATCCCTTTCTCTCCCCCAGTTCCGAGCCCTCACAATCTCCTGGGATGAGCCATCACCCCAAGCAGTCTGTGTGCGAGTTCATTTCCTCTTTCCTTTTGAGTCGACTCAAGAGTTCATTTCCTCTTTCCTTTTGAGTCGACTCAAGAGTTCATTTCCTCTTTCCTTTTGAGTCGACTCAAGAGTTCATTTCCTCTTTCCTTTTGAGTCGACTCAAGAGTTCATTTCCTCTTTCCTTTTGAGTCGACTCAAGAGTTCATTTCCTCTTTCCTTTTGAGTCGACTCAAGAGTTCATTTCCTCTTTCCTTTTGAGTCGACTCAAGAGTTCATTTCCTCTTTCCTTTTGAGTCGACTCAAGAGTTCATTTCCTCTTTCCTTTTGAGTCGACTCAAGAGTTCATTTCCTCTTTCCTTTTGAGTCGACTCAAGAGTTCATTTCCTCTTTCCTTTTGAGTCGACTCAAGAGTTCATTTCCTCTTTCCTTTTGAGTCGACTCAAGAGTTCATTTCCTCTTTCCACCTCCACTCCCATCTTTCCTCTTCCCACTCCACCCTCCCAGTTCCGAGCCCTCACTATCTCCTGGGATGCGCCATCACCCCAAGCAGTCTGCGTGCGAGTTCATTTCCTCTTTCCACCTCCCCTCCCATCTTTCCTCTTCCCACTCCACCCTCCCAGTTCCGAGCCCTCACTATCTCCTGGGATGCACCATCACCCCAAGCGGTCTGTGTGCGAGCGCGCATGGGGGGCAGCACGTGGGTGGGGGGAGGGCCGCGGGCAGACGGGAGATTCGCCACCTTCCTCTCGCTGCTCTCCGCGTCAAGGTGGGTGCCAGCTAGTCTAGTTTTGAGGCGCCTCAAAACTAGGCATGGGGGGCAGCACGTGGGTGGGGGGAGGGCCGCGGGCACACGGGAGCTCCGCCACCTTTCTCTCGCTGCTCTCCGCCTCAAGGTGCGTGCCAGCTAGTTCTCTGAGTGCCTGTCAGTCAGAATACTTGCAAGTGTGGCAGCGCGTGGGTGGGTGGGTGGGTGGGTGTAGCCCATTCTCCTCCCCAATCGCCCTACCTTGTTCCTCTCAACGTTGCATCATAGCGGTTGTTGTGAAAGACAGTGCTGCCGTAAACGGAACTTCCGAGGATGCTTCTAACATTCTGCCTGCGCTGCGGTTTTTTTTTTTTACTCTTTTTGGGAACAGCCAGGGAGTCAAGACAGCAATCCGCTTCTTACAAGCCAGTTGTCACAAGCGGTGGGTGAGGGGAGTAGCAGTGGTGGAGTGAGGAGGAAGCTGCTGAGGGATGATACCAAGGCTCATGGCGCTGCTCTTACTTTCCTTTCACTCCTTCGTGTGAACAGCCAGGTGCTGGTTGCCGTGGAGGGGAGTCAAGACAAGGGGAGTCAAGACAGCAATCCGCTTCTTGCAGACCAGTTGTCACAAGCGGGGGGTGAGGGGAGTAGCAGCGGTGGAGTGAGGAGGAAGCTGCTGAGGGATGATACCAAGGCTCATGGTGCTGCTGTAGCACCTGACACTGTAACACCTGACACTGTAGCGTCTGACACTGTAGCATCTGACACTGTTGCACCTGACACTGTTACACCTGGCACTGTTGCACCTGACACTGTTGCACCTGAGACTGTTCAACCTGGCAACATTGCACCTGGCACTCTAGCAGCTGGTACTGGCACTGTAGCACCAGCTGTGGATGCGGGAGTGTTCAGGGCATGGAAAGAGGACCTGGGCCGTCGGATCAAAGGCATCTCCATCTCGCACCGTCCGCTCGCATGGCTGCTATCTGAAGCAGAGAAAGAGGGCGCTCCAATCGACGTTCTCCTGGTGAGTGGGTGATGCTTTGCTTTCCGTTTGGCTCGATGCTGAAGAGTCCCATTCAATCTGCTATGACCACATCACCACTCCATTTCTGGGTATTGAGAATTTTCAGTGACCAGAAGTTTCCTTATTTCCGTGCATGTTTGCTTCCCTCTTCCACTGTTTCTTTCTCTATCTTCTTGTTTCCTTATACAAGGGGATAGGGAAAAAACCAGTGGGAGGAAGAAGCAAACAGACACGGAGATAAGACATGATTCTCATCCAACCCCAATTCTCCTCCCCCCCGATGCTCTCCTGGCGAGTGAGTGAGTTGTTGCTTTGTTTTCCTACTAAGCCAATTCATGATGCACCATTGCTCTCCTCCTAGCCCACTTCTCCTGCCCTCCTCCTGCACAAGCTCTTCTCCCCGCCCCCCTCACCTCTCCTCTCTGCCCTATTCTCACCACACCTTCGCCCCTCCTCACCCCCAGGTATCTCTCTCTTCAGTCTCTGCATCTATCATAGCACAGTGGTCGGCCAATCACATCGTGCCACGTGTGTGCCAGCTGCTGGTGGCAGCAGATTCTGCTGCAGAATTAGGGCTTTTGGCAACTGTGATCCAACATCTAGGGAATGTCGGGATGCAATTAGAGAAGTGCGCGCTTGTCAGACGCGGCGAGGGTCGCCACTGTACATTCTGCTCTATATCGTCTTGTATAATATACCGTAATCTCCCGTATATAGGACCCGGGGGTCTTATCAGAAATGTTGTGAATAATGATTAGGTGAACAATACCAAGGGGCATATTTACTAAGACCCCTGAACACATTAAGAATTCATAGAGCACAATGTATTCACTCATAGCACTGGAAAGTCAAGCTTTTACCGAGGGTGTTGAATTCTTCCCCTGACGCGGATTCGAATCTCAACAGTAAAATCCACGCAAAATCGAATCGTGACTGGAATTCTGTTAAATTGTAATGTCTTACATGTTGGTAGGCTGTAGTGGGGTAGCCAATATGGGGTACAACCCCAACTAGGGTTTGCTACTTGTACCCAACTGTTTCATTCAATGCACCATTCTTGCCTAGTCTTGTTGACATGGTATCAGAGCAGGAGGTCCCTAGGACCTACCGACCGTTTTTTTAGGGCCCACCACCGCTCGCATGCGGTTACCACGCTACCCCGTGCCCTAGCCTAGCTGCGCCCGCCCACGCGAGTCTCGCACGCCCCAGCAGCTTCGTGAGTGGTACGCTCAGAGTAGAGGGTCTCTCAGTTCTGTTCGCTGCTCTTACGTCATTCGCACTGGTGCTCGGACTGGTCAGCCTTGCGGGACACCTAGTCACACGCAGTCCCGCTGCTTCGCCCGTCTGAGCGACGCCTGGCGCACCGAGTTTGGCGACGGAGCTGAGCTCCCCGACTGGGTGGAGCTACTTAGGCAGAGAGTAGATATATTTGCTCTTGACTATGATGCTATTCTCACTGCCATGTATGCATTGCCTACTAGTGCTGACCGTGCCTGTTACCTGTGTGCGCCGCCTGACCCAGGTATCGCGCCTGCTGCTCTAGGTACTGGTGAGGCGGCTACTCTAGGTGCTACTGCGTCTCCTGCTCTAGGTGCTGGTGAGGCTGCTGCTCTAGGTGCTACTGCGTCTCCAGCTCTAGGTGCTGGTGAGGCTGCTGCTCCAGGTCCTGGTGAGTCTGCCCTCTCTGGTTCTTCGCCTGCTGCGACCCTGCACACCTTCACCCTTGACTCAGGAGCTTCCCGCTCCTTCTTTCGCGACTGCACCACACTTACGCCGCTTCGTCGGCCGGTTGCAGTCTCCCTGGCCGACCCCTCTGGGGGTCCAGTCCTTGCCCACTACTCCACGGTTCTGCCGTGTCCGGCCGCCCCGTCTGGCTTGCTGTCAGGTCTCTACCTCCCCTCGTTCTCTACGAACCTGGTGAGTGGAGCTGACCTCCAGGATGGGGGGGTTGACCAGTTCACTCCTGCGCGTCAGCGGGTGACTCACTGTACGTGTGCTCGGACGGGCCGACACCTGGCCACTTTCACCCGTGCGCCTGGCTCGAGCCTGTACACCCTGACCACTGAGTCCCCTCAGGTAGCTGCGTCTGCGTCTGCGTCAGGTCAGCTGTCGGCCCCCTGCTTGTGTCGCGCCTTGTCGCACGAGACCCTTCTTTGGCACCACCGCCTTGGTCACCCCTCGGTGCAGCGCCTTCGCAGCATGCACCGTCGTGTCCTTGTCTCTGGTCTTCCCAGAGTTCTCCCTCCCCTCCCACCCTCGCCTGCTCCTCCCTGTCTTCCCTGTGTCGAGGGGCGGCAGCGCGCCGCTCCTCACTCCTCCTCGTTCCCTCCCACAGAGGCTCCCTTGCAGACTCTCCACCTGGACGTGTGGGGCCCAGCCCGCGTCCGTGGACAGGACCACGAGCGGTACTTCCTGCTGGTCGTCGACGACTACACGCGTTACACCACGGTCTTCCCCTTGCGCACCAAGGGTGAGGTCCCTACTGTTTTGATCCCCTGGATCCGCGCTGCTCGTCTCCAGCTCCGCCGGCGGTTCGGGACAGAGTTTCCCGTCCTGCGTCTGCACTCTGACAGAGGTGGTGAGTTTTCCTCCGACCTCTTGGCAGCCTACTGTGCGGAGCGCGGCATCACCCAGTCGTTCACGCTTCCGGCCTCTCCGCAGCAGAATGGGATTGCTGAGCGCCGCATTGGCTTGGTCATGGAGGTCGCTCGTACCTCCATGGTCCATGCGGCTGCCCCCCATTTTCTGTGGCCGTTTGCGGTCCGGTACGCCGCGCATCAGCTCAACCTCTGGCCCCGTGTCTCCTTGCCGGAGACCTCGCCCACACTGCTGTGGACGGGGGAGGTTGGCGATGCGTCGCGTTTCCGGGTCTGGGGTTCTCGTGCCTTTGTCCGCGATACCACCGCGGACAAGCTCTCCGCCCGCGCTGTCCCCTGTGTCTTCCTTGGCTTTGTCCCTGACGCGCCTGGCTGGCAGTTTTACCACCCCACCTCGCGCCGGGTCTTCGCCTCTCAGGACGTCACCTTTGACGAGTCGGTCCCTTTCTACCGTCTCTTCCCCTACCGCACTGCCCCTCTCCCTCCCCCGCCGCTTTTCCTCGCTCCTGGTCCCCCTCCGGTAGACCCCCTTCCCCCTCAGGGTCCTGCTCCTTCAGGTGTCTCTCAGGTAGACCCTCCTCCCGTCGCTGAGCCTGTCGAGGTCACAGGTGACTCAGGTGCTGCTGCGGGTGGTGCTGCTGGGAGTGCTGAGCCTGGGGGTGCTGAGCCTGGGGGTGCTGGGCCTGGGGGTGCTGGGGCTGCGGGTGCTGGGACTGAGGGTGCTGGAGCTGAGGGTACGGTGCCTGAGAGTACGGAGCCTGGGGGTGCTGAGCCTGGGGGTGCTGCGACTGGGGGTGCTGAGCGTGCGTGTACGGAGCCTGGGTGTACTGAGCCTGGGGGTGCCGAGTCTGGGGTTACTGAGCCTGGGGGTGCTGCGCCTGAGGGTACTGAGCCTGGGGGTGCTGCGACTGAGCCTGCGGAGCCTGGGGTTGCTGCGTCTAGGGGTGCTCCGGTTCGGGGTGCTGAGCCGTCTCTCACACAGCAGCAGCTTCGTGACTGGTACGTCCGGCGCTTTCGCCGTCCTCGTGGCCCTGCTGGAGTTGGAGGTTCTGGAGCTGCTCGTCCTGGAGGTGCTCGTACTGGAGGTACTGGAGCTGCCGGGGCTGGTTGTTCTGGGAGCACTGAGACTGGAGCTGCTGGAGCTGGCGGTGCTAGCGGGGTTGGAGCTGCCGGGCCTGGGTGCGCTGAGCCTTCGGGTGCTGAGTCTGGGGGTCCTGAGCCTGGGGGTGCTGCGACTGAGCCTACGGAGCCTGGGGTTGCTACGTCTGGGGGTGCTCCGGTTCGGGGTGCTGAGCCGTCTCTCCGGGAGCCTCTCACACAGCAGCAGCTTCGTGACTGGTACGTCCAGCGCTTTCGCCTTCCTCGTGGTCCCGCTGGAGCTGGGGGTACTGGAGCTGCCGGGGCTGGGAGCACTGAGGCTGGAGCTGCTGGAGCTGGGGCCTCTGGAGCTGACGGTCCTAGCGGAGTTGGAGCTGCCGGCTCTGGGGGTGCTCTTCCTGTAGGTGCTGGAGCTGCTGGAGCTGACGACACTGGAGCTGACGGTCCTGGAGGTGTTGGTCCTGCTGGTTCTGGAGGTGCTGGCGAGGGGAGGTCTGCCGCTGCTGGGGCCTCTGGTGCTGACGTCGCCGGCTCTGGGGGTGCTGCGGCGGGGGGTGCTGGTACTGGTGCTTCTGGTGCTGCGGGTGCTGGAGGTGCTGGCGGAGCTCCGCCGTCGCGACTGTTCTTCGCTCCACCGTCGCCGTCGGCTTTGCCACCGCCTGACACGGTGCTTCGCCAGGTTCTTTCCCTCCCTTCTTCCACTGGCCTTCCCCTCCAGCCTGGCTCCCCCCTCCCTGCTCCTGTGCCTTACACTGCACAGCCGGACTCGCTTACGGAGCGTCGTGAGCCTGTGTCTCGTCCTGCCTCGCCTGTTCGCGCTGCTCGCACTGCTCGTACTGCGCGCACTGGTCCCACTGGTCGTCGTGTCGCGCGTCCGCGTCCTCCTCCTGTTCCTGGCACGCACATTATGGCCCTTCGTCCTTCCACTGGTCCACAGCGTGTCCCCCTACCGTCTCCTCCTGCGTCTTCTCTTCCTGACGTTCCCGACCCTGAGTCTGACAGTGTTCGTGCTGCCCACCCTACTGTTACCCGTCTTCTCGCCACTGTTGTCACTGACCCGTCTTTTGAGTCTGCTGCTGCGTCTGCCCTGGTCGCTGAGCTTGTCGACTTTGCTGCTGCCTGTCGTCTAGACTACGCCGCCAGTCTTGTTGCTGAGTCTGAGTCTGTCTGTCCTCCGTCCGTCGGGGGTGAGTGTGCTCTTGGCACGGACGTCCTTGAGGACAGGCACGAGGACCTTGACTCTCTTGCGGCTGCTGTACCTCATCTCGTGGCCTGGCTGCTTGCCCCTGAGGGAGACCCGGATGCACTAGACATCCC